GTGCTACCCTTCAATAGTGGTTTGGTTAAAGGTTAGTGCTACCCTTCAATAGTGGTTTGGTCAAAGGTTAGTGCTACCCTTTAATAGTGGTTTGGTCAAAGGTTTGTGCTACCCTTCAATAGTGGTTTGGTCAAAGGTTAGTGCTACCCTTCAATAGTGGTTTGGTTAAAGGTTAGTGCTACCCTTCAATAGTGGTTTGGTCAAAGGTTAGTGCTACCCTTCAATAGTGGTTTGGTCAAAGGTTAGTGCTACCCTTCAATAGTGGTTTGGTCAAAGGTTAGTGCTACCCTTCAATAGTGGTTTGGTCAAAGGTTAGTGCTACCCTTCAATAGTGGTTTGGTCAAAGGTTAGTGCTACCCTTCAATAGTGGTTTGGTTAAAGGTTAGTGCTACCCTTCAATAGTGGTTTGGTCAAAGGTTAGTGCTACCCTTTAATAGTGGTTTGGTCAAAGGTTAGTGCTACCCTTCAATAGTGGTTTGGTCAAAGGTTAGTGCTACCCTTTAATAGTGGTTTGGTCAAAGGTTAGTGCTACCCTTCAATAGTGGTTTGGTCAAAGGTTAGTGCTACCCTTCAATAGTGGTTTGGTCAAAGGTTAGTGCTACCCTTCAATAGTGGTTTGGTCAAAGGTTAGTGCTACCCTTCAATAGTGGTTTGGTCAAAGGTTAGTGCTACCCTTCAATAGTGGTTTGGTCAAAGGTTAGTGCTACCCTTCAATAGTGGTTTGGTCAAAGGTTAGTGCTACCCTTCAATAGTGGTTTGGTCAAAGGTTAGTGCTACCCTTCAATAGTGGTTTGGTCAAAGGTTAGTGCTACCCTTCAATAGTGGTTTGGTCAAAGGTTAGTGCTACCCTTCAATAGTGGTTTGGTCAAAGGTTAGTGCTACCCTTCAATAGTGGTTTGGTCAAAGGTTAGTGCTACCCTTTAATAGTGGTTTGGTCAAAGGTTAGTGCTACCCTTCAATAGTGGTTTGGTCAAAGGTTAGTGCTACCCTTCAATAGTGGTTTGGTCAAAGGTTAGTGCTACCCTTCAATAGTGGTTTGGTCAAAGGTTAGTGCTACCCTTTAATAAAAGTGTGGTTAAAGGTTAGTACAACCCTCCTATAGTGGTTTAGTCAAAGATTAACGCAACCCTCTATAAGAGGTTTTGACCTCTATCAAGCAAAATATTGCGATAAAGATGGACTGGATATAAGAAAACAGGTAATTTTCAAAAATTCCATCAAGTGATAGAATGTAGGCCTACGTCATCTTTTATTGTATCGCGATTTCTCAATGAGGTCTCGGCACGTTAAATGTTTAATCTCTAAAAGTTTCTCGAGTTTAGTTCAATTTAAAGTGTTTTAAAGATTGAAAGACGGTAGATAGGTTTAGTAGATAGGTTTAGATAGGTTTAGTAGACTGTGTGGAGACTGCCTTCAATAAAGGTCGCAGCGTATACCACCGTAAAACTCTGTTGACTTTATAACAATCAAAATCAAGCAAGGACCAAAATAACTATGCTAATTCGCAATTGTAGATCCATTCAAAGGGTCTAATCCTGAAAACGAATTTATTTGAAGTAGCGTGTCTTTCCCTCAGCGACGCGGGCCGTTCTCACGCTATTAAATAAACACCATCGTTTAGTTTTTAATTACGTTCGGGAGAGGGTGAGAAAAAAAAAAAGCTTTTTGCCAAAAATACAATCATTCCATTAGGCGGGACCAACACTTCATTCCACGCCGCCGCCATCTTGGACTTCACTGTAATGAGCTCAGGACGCCTTCCGGTAAGGGAAGTCACTCGGAACAAAACGGTCTTCGCGTGGAAACCTTAGAGCGTTTATTCTCTGATGCGATGACGTTAATAATGACGACGGTAATGCCGATGCTGTCAGGGCCGACGATGGGGAAGAGCCGATATGAGAATCATTGAAAATTGGCTTTGAGCGTTGAGAAGCTTGAAGATGTGAGCGTGTGAGAGACGGAGGGGGGGAGGGGGGAGGCCCGGGGTGGGGGGTTGAGCCGCGGTGCTAGACTCGGGCTTTGAGCTGTAAAGTTGAGCAGTTCTTAAACACCAAGCCCGCAGCTTAGAAGATCGGGGGTGAAAGCTGGGTCGGCTGAACAGGGAGAAACTAATTACAATATTTACGTGCACCCCCGCTGCGCTCTCAAAACATGGGGTGGGGGCGAGAGAGGGAGCGGGGTTGGGGTGGGGACGCGTAGGTTAACATTTTGATGACGTGTTCGCATACGCAAATTATTTTTAATACGCCTGATGATTTGTTAAAATTGTTTAAATAATTAACATTGCGTGGTACGTGAAGTAATTGCGGTATCAATCGGCATTCAACTTACAAACAATGAAATAGTAAATGATGCTTACATAAAGTTTTATTTTAGTTTTGTGAGAATTGGAAAATACGAATATAAATACCGAATACTATAATATTAAACTGTTGCAAAGAGCAAAACGAAGATATTTGTTTTAAGACCATTATTCATTGGGAGATTTTAATTCATTTTTTCACAACCGTAACTTTTGACCAATATTATGTTCTGACCCACCAACGGCCCACCAATCCACTGACCCACCGGCCCACCGCGGCCCACCACTACATTAACTAACGAGGCTAGGTGTTCTAAATGCCCTTTCTGAATTAAATCCTGTTACACGAAGTAAACAAACACTTCCCCTAGAATTTTTATTTTGTTGGAGGCAACATTTTACAGGAAGTAAACAAACATTTCCCATAGTCAGCACGACATTTACATTCATCCAGGCTTTTGAACCTTTTTTTTTACACCCTACGTCACTTCCGTGGTGTGACCCGCGACCAACAGCGCTCCCAGATTTTATAAGCTCTAGTTAGCTCAGCCGATAAGGGGAGCAGCCCGCTGACAAAAAACGTTTTTAGATAATTCTTATTTCATCTTTTCCTCCACGACATGCGCCCCGGGGGTGGGGGGGTGAATTTTATTTCTGGTCTTGGTGGGTTAAAGAAAGAAGAAAAAAAATGTGGGAGTAGTTTACGGCGTCGTTCTGTTCGCCAAGTCGCCGTAGTGGATGTGTTTTTCACGTGTAAAGAGTGTAAAAATGTGAGTAATTCTAGTCAAGTTTATCACTTATCACAGGCCGAGGGGAATATTAGCGCGGCGGGCTGTGGCCAGGTTTCTGATTAACAGGCCAAACATCCACCCACCCGGCAACTCAAGACGTCTTGTTACGTCCCCTGCAGCACACGACCTATAAAATAGGGACCAATTTGTGCCAGAATAAACTACTTCATGGTAACTCAAAGTTATAAACAGGTAAAAAAAAAAAAACGAATGCCAATTTACGCTGGAAATGTGAATTAATTGAAAAATCTGGATTTATGTGGGTTATTTACGAGGTACCGAAGAAAGTTTTTAGATTTTTTTGTAGCATAAAAGTGTGAGCGAGATATTTTAATTACAAGAACACGAGAATCAGTATCAGTTATTTGAAGAATTTGATTCGGTGAGCTCTCTAATGAGGTAGTATTGAGGATTAGTTTTAGACACTGATCATATGATATTTATAATTACACATATGCTATTTATAACTAGATATAAGATACTGTCACTGAATGTTAATAATTAAAGGTAGACTCTAATTGAATATATACAATTAGCAGTTGCGGACTAAATTTAGAAGTGTAGGTATAATTGGATATAGCAGTTTTAATTAATTAACAAAATCGTCAAACCGCCGTTCAGTGAGTTTTTAATTGCCAATGGTCTATTAGTATTCCAGTCGTATAGGTCTATAGGGGGGGGTCGTACTCGGATGACGTCATATCCCTAGGGGAAGGGTTCGGAATTGTGTGACGATGCGTGACGAAGGAGGGATTTAGAAAGTGTGACTTTACCTTTATGATTTGAAAACAAAAGTAAGATTATTAAGATGGGCCTACTTTATATGGAAAGAAAACGATGTGTTAAAAATAAAACAATTTAACTTTTACAGCATAGGCTGCCTTGTTTGCTCTCTTGTTCATTGTTACCTAAGGTAATAACATGTGGTTGATGCGATCCACAACAGACATGAAGCGGCCATCTAAAACGATTATTCCTGTGTTTACACACAAAACATTTACTCAGAAATCTGTTGTAAGTCTATTGCCACCAACTTGGACGGAAGAGAAGAAATGAAATATGTTCATCCAAGTTTGTGCAAAATACAGGTTGTTATAAAATACTGTATAGGAACATCCCAATATAAAATTATTTTATTGTAAACTTCATAACATGCACGAGCTGGTATTTAGTACTTAGGTGATATTGTACTAACATTTGGCTAACCAAGTACTGAGATAAAACACACATTGAATTATATTGTATGAACAACACATTCTTAATCTCAAACTCTAAACTATCATTCCGTGCTACTGTTTCATTGTGTGTTCACTTTTCACACTGTGTAGAGGATTTCATACATACATACACACACACACACACACATATATATATATATATATATATATATATATATATATATATATGTATGTATGTATGTATATATATATATATATATATAATATCCCTTTTGTGCGCTCGCTGCTTCCTTGCACTATAAACCTGATAACCCCCCCCCCCCCCCCCCCCTACATACGTTTCTATTAGACTGTTTCACGTAACTGAAAAGAATTAACTTACGCAAAAAAACATGGAATGTGTTAGTTTAAATATGATTATCTAAAGTAATCGTATATCATTTAATTATGAGTGTAGTATTAAAAATTTGTTTGAGAGTTGACGGTGTACTCACCATATACTCAGAGCAAATGTGTGTGTGAGAGTTGACGGTGTACTCACCATATACTCAGAGCAAATGTGTGTTTGAGAGTTGACGGTGTACTCACCATATACTCAGAGCAAATGTTTGTGTGAGAGTTGACGGTGTACTCACCATATACTCAGAGCAAATGTGTGTTTGAGAGTTGACGGTGTACTCACCATATACTCAGAGCAAATGTGTGTTTGAGAGTTGACGGTGTACTCACCATATACTCAGAGCCGCTGTTGGAGGAGTTGTTGTCGTTACAAATGTCCTCGGTGCGGTTGATGCGGCTCCCGTGTAGCAGCTCCTCCAGGCTCTCGATGTACTCGATGGCGTTCCTCAGGATCTCGACCTTCGGCAGACGCTGGTTCGGGTTCGGGCAGGTCCGACGTTTCAGCGTCTCGAAGGCCTCGTTGACTCGCTTGAGCCGTCTCCGTTCCCGCATCGTGGCGGCTTTCCTGCGGTCGATGGTGACGGTCTTTCTCTTGCACGCCTTGCAGGCCCAGAGCAGGCAGCGGCGGTTGGGCCCGTGGAACCCCGGGGCCAGCACGTGCGGGATGTGGTCGTCCGGGTCGTCATCGTCACACGAGTCCATGCTGTTTCCGGTCTCGTTCCCGCACCGGCTGTCGTCCAGTTTGCCGTCACATCCGTCACCGTCGATGGACGGCGAGCAGGGCTCCGTGTCCAGACTGACGGTGGCCTTGGACGGGCAGATGACCTTGTGCTTGACCAGTTCCTCGTCTGGCTTCTCCCGGCGCTTGCTGCATTTCTCCGCCTCGTCTTTGGGTTTAGGCGAGGACGTACAAGGCCGATCGGCCTCTTTAGGCCCGAGGAAGTGTTTTGGCGTGTCCGCGGCGACTGGGCTAGGCGAGGGAAAACTTGGATTGGAAGAAACTGCCCGCGCCCGACGTTGGTATTCAGCTTGACCGTTGGGGTAGGTGGCGGGGTGGTGGGGGTCGGGGTAGAAGTGCTGTGACGTGTATCCGCTGTAGCTGTACACATCTGCTGGGTACTGCCGGGAGAAGGCCGCCCGCGAGTAGGCCTGGTGGTGGGGGCTCAACAGCTCCTGGCGCCCCGGCCCCGCTGAGGGGTGGGGGTAGGAGATGTCCATGATCTGACGCGGGTCCTGGAGCTCGTGTGCGCCGGGGGCGAACGTGCCCCCGGGAAACATGGACGCCGGGTTGTGTTCGTAGCGACAGCTGCGATAATCAGCCATCATCATCATCTTGATACCGGCCTGAGTTATGGCCCTTCACACTAAGTCTTCAAACTCTCAGGGTCACGGCAATACAGGGGCGACAAATCTTGAAACCTGCTGGCGATATGAACTAGAATCGATGTATTCTTCTCCCGAAACACAACAGCTGTCCTGAATACTGTCTTCTGCTGTCTCTAATCTCTCTCAGAGCCGTCCGCCCCTTGTTTCTTGCATGTCAGTTCACGGCTGACTGCTCACATTCTTGCCTGCTTCTTGCATCAACCGCAAACTTCACCCCTGGGTGTTTGCCTAGTTCATGCCGCTCTAATGTTTCCTATCCAGACCAGCTTATAGTGAATCCAGTCCACCTTTATCACACCTCATTCTCCGGGTCCCAGATTTTTTACTATCACTGCCGCTCCGGATCGCTTTTTGCCGCTCCGATGCAGATCGAGATAAGGCTAGGCAGACGCCGCGCCTACTTTTTAGATTAGATCATGAGCGCTTGAGCAGACGATGGGGTGAGTCGCAAGACGTCTTACCTAAAATATGATTAGAACATTTTTTATAAAGTTTTCTTACTTTTTAAAAACAAATACAAAACATTGTGTTAGTAAAATCCAAATACACAAGCTTCAAGCTCAGTAAATTCAAGCAGCTGATTATTGTGTGAAATAAATTCAAATACTAAAAAAAATTGTTTTAAATAAATAAAATACAAAACATTATGGTCAAGTTCACAACATAGAAACATATCGGCATCTCTGTAGGGTTATGTAGGTGGAGGGGTTGTATGCTACATTGTTAACGTAGGCAAACATTGTATAATCATATAAATCAGGGGTCTCCAAACTACGGCCCGCGGGCCGTATGCGGCCCGCAAGGTCCTATCATCCGGCCAGCGGAGATCTTTTTGTCCACGGAAAAACCGTTTGTTGGTGATGGCTGAGGAACTTTGCCCAGAAAAATCAAAGACATGTCTGTAAGAAACTGGCCACCGAACTGAAATTTGATAGTTAATGCGGCCCTCGGACTAAAAAGTTTGGAGACCCCTGATATAAATGATAAAACACATTTTAAAACCTCAAGGGATATTTATTCTAGAGATAATTATTGAAGCACGGGTGTGCAATTTTATTGTAAATCCAAAACATCCTCTCTAAATACCCACATGATGAACTAAGGCTACTACAAACACGCGAACAACAAGCGCTGCCACAAACGCACTGTATCTATCAACTTAGCTCCAAACTTTCTACAACAACTGAAGTTGCAACAATCTTTATCTTCCGCTGTGACATCATGCCTATTTTTATCAACATTAAGCAGCAACAACAAACATTTTATCAACAGACAATGACACCACCAAACATTTTATCAACAGACAATGACACCACCAAACACGCCAACTCCCAGCGATGTTGTTGAGGTATCTGATTAGGGACACGCCGACAGTATAGCCGTGTGGTTATATCTAGAACAATTCAGCCCGGGTTCAAATCACACAATAGCTAGTGCAACTCGGGGTTAACCGCACCTTGATGTGTGGCCGAGTTGGTGTGAGTATCGCGATAGGTGTTGACAAACTAAGATCTACAGATTAATCCCTCCGGATTCCATTTTAAAACACCCCCACCCCTCCTTTCCATTTCTTCTTCGTTAAATTCATTCTTAATCTTTAAAAAAAACAAGTTCGGAACTTCTAAAGCATTCGTTTTTATCTGCAGCCCTCGCGAATATGAAATAGTATCTTATCCTTAACTATTATTAAGAGGATTACTGAGGAAATTCATCACTCGCTTGTCTGCCCTTATGGGTTTAAAGTATCAGAACCGTCGTGCGCAGGAGACATGCGCGATAGATGAAAATCCTCCGCTTAATATTACATCAGTGTAAGCAAGTATGACATCAGAAGATAATGCGCTAGGAAGAAAAAGATCGTTTTTTATTTTTTGCACGGTGGGTCTTAAAGAATTCTTTGATTCAACTCGTGCACTAGGTAGTGGGTCACGTGGTACATGGTCACGTGATACGTGGTCACGTGGTACATGGTCACGTGATACGTGGTCACGTGATACGTGGTCCGTGTCACGACGCATTAGAAGATTGGGCGGGAGTAAATGGCGGAGGGTCGAAGATAAACACCAAGAGACAATACACTAAAATAGTACACACGTGTGGAGGATTGTTGCATGAGTGGAAGGGGTGATTGCTGGATGAGTATAGCCTTAAAACGTGGACGATGATTGTCGGATGAGCATAGTTGAAGGGGTGATTGATGGATGAGTATAGCCTCACACAGTGTGGACGTGTGGAAGATGATTGTCGGATGAGCATAGTGGAAGGGGTGATTGCTAGATACTTATCTCTCGCAGGTTTCGATCCTGTGTCTTTGCCGGTCGATGTGCTTTTAACTCGTCAAATATTTAGGCTTAACCGAAAAATGTTGATTGTATAAACTGTTAAATTAGTGTAGTTACTGTTTAAAATAAGCATTGTATCTTGCTGACTATGGTGCCGCTACCCATTACTTGTGCTTTGTTGTTAGTCTACAATCATAGAACATTGTTAGTCTACAGCTATAGAACATTGTTAGTCTACAGCTATAGAACATTGTTAGTCTACAATCATAGAACATTGTTAGTCTACAATCATAGAACATTGTTAGTCTACAATCATAGAACATTGTTAGTCTACAATCATAGAACATTGTTAGTCTACAATCATAGAACATCGTCAGTCTACAGTTATAGAACATTGTTAGTCTACAACTATAGAACATTGTTAGTCTACAACTATAGAACATTGTTAGTCTACAACTATAGAACATTGTTAGTCTACAACTATAGAACATTGTTAGTCTACAACTATAGAACATTGTTAGTCTACAATCATAGAACATTGTTAGTCTACAGCTATAGAACATTGGTAGTCTACAACTATAGAACATTGTTAGTCTACAACTATAGAACATTGTTAGTCTACAATCATAGAACATTGTTAGTCTACAATCAAAGAACATTGTTAGTCTACAACTACAGAACATGCCGTCAAAACACAAATCTTCTATAAAAACATCAGGCTACTAAACTTTAATTTACTACAGTTCTTCCACTTACCTAAGTTGATTGTATTTTTTATTAATTATAGTCTTAGTGTACCCAGCCTTCTATAATCTTGCTGTTGTAGTATTCTAATATTGCCGATATAATTGTGTGTGTAAAAGATAGGTCTAAATTATTTAGATGGCCAATGCATGACATCAAATAGCTGAGTAGGCTACTACTGAGCGTGTGACGTTTTGAAAAAAAAAATTCACTAGCAGTGAGTAAAATATTTCCTTGTTAGCCTCAACCCCCGCCAGATTTTTTTTGGTCACGATTTCGCTTTTTTGTGTTGTTAACTGAGTCGGCCTATTACAACATGTTTTGTGAAGTATGTGTTTTAGATTGTTAATGTTAAGGTTATTGTGTGAATTTTATGTGAAAATTATGGAGAGTGTGTGAACTTGATGTGATGTCTTTTTCACTTTCTCGTATATACGAAGTATAGAGAAAGTCTTGTAATCGTGCAAAAAAAAAAATCGAGATTTTTACAAATCTCGACGTTTTACACCGCACTGATACGGAAAAACATAATTTTGCAATCTTGTCCGTATGTCTGTGTGTCTGTCTGTGTGTCTGTGTGTAAACACGATAACTTGAGTACCGTTACAGCTAGTTTGATGAAATTTCATATATAAGTATTTTATCAAAATCGTAGATCCGCATCAACTTTTGAGCGATTTCCCATAACCGAAAGTGGTACTTTTCCTGCTTTGAATTTTTCAAAAGCCTATAACTTGAGTACTATTTCAGATAGATAAATGAAATTTCACATGTAAGTAAAAGATCTAATTCTCTACCTTCTGTTAAAGTTTGAGTAATTTCCGTTGACTGGAAGTAGTACTTTACGCTACTTCCGATTTCTCAAAAAACTAATGTAAATTTTAAAAGTACTAATAATATTGCGCACTATTATGCGCTTTTTTATTTGGCTTTCACTTGGTGTGCAATTAATTTGTCTACGAGATTTTATTCTATTTTTAAAACTTTAAGTATTTAAAATGGATTAAAAATCATGTCTATAGCCCGAGTTCCCATCCCCTGTTATTTTATATAAGAATATTCGAGAAAGTTTAGGGGAGATCACTCCCGGTTTATTTAAAATATGTGACATCTATATGGCGTATGAGTGAAGTATGTGTTGATTTTAATTGACGTCTGTATGAAGTCTGAGTGGAATATGTGTTGAGTATGTATGACGTCTGTGTGACGTCTTAGTGAATTGTGTGTTAAATATATGTGACATGTATACAACTTCTTAGTGAGTTTTGTGTTAACTATGTATAACGTGTAAATGACGTCTTAATGAAGTGTGTCTTCTGTATGTATAACATCTGTATGACGTTTTAGTTAATTGTGAGTAAAGTACGTGTGACGTCCATTTGACGTCCATGAGAAATTTGTTTTAATTATGTGTGACGTCTATTTGACCAGTAAATCAACAATATATTTTTGTTTACGTTTATTTGTATTAAGTTCACGTAGTTTTGTTTACAATAACAAAAGTTATTTACATAGGTTGATTTATATAAGCTGTATTTTTAAAGCGCTAATTAAATTAATGAATTAATATTTATTAGGTTTAAATGATAATTCCGTGCTCGTGCTTACATAGATTTATGTGCGTGTTATCTCTCCTGAATATCTAAACAATAAAGTTTAACAAAGAAAGTTTAACGGTTTAACAGCTGGTTATTAATTACATCTTCTCACCAGGCAGGGTAGGTTTTCAGATACTTCTGAGTTAGCCGTAACATAAATGGTAGCTCCCGATAGCTCTAAAATCAGCAATTATCAGTATCGCCAATCTTAAACCTAACATAAACCTAACTTGGACTTAAACCCAAACATAACCCCATCTTAACTCTAACGACTAGGTACGATAAATCCTAATTGTAACTCCTGTACATGTAAATTACCCGTTTTATCTTACGCCTACATTTATATCATGACCATACACTTAAAGCATGATAATTATTGTTTAATAAATCTTCCTTTTAACAGTATGATTGAAAGACAAGAAATGGGCCCACACGATAGGACATGTAGGACAAGAAATGGGCCCACACGATAGGACATGTAGGACAAGAAATGGGCCCACACGATAGGACATGTAGGACAAGAAATGGGCCCACACGATAGGACATGTAGGACAAGAAATGGGCCCACACGATAGGACATGTAGGACAAGAAATTGGTCCACACATATAACCATTATAGGTTTGGTTGTTTTATTTATTTAAACAAACACTAGTACAACAGAACCGAATTAATTAATTATAATTAATTAATTCTATCTTGAGCTTTACAATCCTTTTTATTCTAAACCCCATAACTGTGGTTCAACGGTTAGCACAATTTGGTGATATGATATTAAATATTGAACACAGAAGTTAGAAACTAAATGTGTTTTGTGTTGTGTTTACCAAAAGTTTGCGACATGAGTTTTAATTTTTTTTTTTAAACAACTAAAGATTGTATATGGCGTACCAACACGGTTCATGTAGGGATTGTAGGCGATTGATATAGCTTAGTTTAACAATGTACTTCGATATTACTTCTTTAAGCAGTGATGTTATTGTGAATACATCACATTGAGGGGTGGACATCATCGGCTTAAGGCGAGTGGTTGTATAGTAACTAAGAACTGTTATATAATATTTTCATACACCATCACTTCTATATTATATAATATTCTTAGATCCCCCCCCCCCTTTTCAAAGACAAAACAGTTCGATAGTCCAAGCACTGGGTAATTAACAAAGTTAATGTGTATGACAATTAGATCAGATCAGGGACAAATCGGTTGCTACACTTATTCATTAAAATTAGTTGTTATTACTTTATTGTGTTAGCAAAAATGTTGGCTTTTTTTGTTTACCATATTTATCAAAACACACACTTTACAAATAAATTAAATCAAAGCTTGTGCTTTCTAGATGTCTCTTTACAACCCACTTTAACATACAATACAACATAACAATAAAACGCCCATCACCAATTTAGTATCTCCTGTACCTGGGGCAAGTTTGTCTAAAATTTCTCAGTGGACGATTCGACACTCATTTTGTTGCATACCTTTGTATATAAAGTTATGAGGGCATAGTAGGTTACATTCGTATATTTTAAATTGATTCTGTTGCCTTTATTTATTTGAATTAATAGTGACACATTTAAATTTAGATGCGTTGAACTGTGTTGCAATCTTTAAAGTTTGGATCATCTTGTCAAATGTTGCCTCCTAAGTTTACGAGATTAAATTCTGCTTAAACTGACCATGTCTGACATTTTACTCTCCCCAATCACGTGATGCCCGTAGTTAAGCCACAGGCATGTTGTATGCCTGATGTTTGCTCATCAACTCTAATCCTGCCGGAAGCAGTTATTTTTATCTGGATTTCCCTGACCCCTTTCCTGAAGAGTTCTTGACAAACTATTTTAAAAAAGTTTTTTCCTTTTCTTTTAAAAAAATACTTTTGAAAATAATTTATTTCCCGAAGTGTTCATTTCGTATTAACCAGTTAGCCAGTGATATATTGACATCACTCTAATCCATTATCTTATACAAACTTCAATACAGCCTCTAATGCTAACTAAATCAAGTCTCTAACTTTGTTAGCTTATACAGATTCCATTAATAAACATTTTAAAAAATCCAATTTTAACTGTAATTAAAATAAATACTAATGAAAACTCTAATACTAACCCTAACACAAGAGCTATTATAATATACTCAAAGGCGCTTGTACTAGAAGTGTGTATACGTTTTATAACAGGATCTAAAACTACACGTATGTGTTAGCAGTGTGTATATGTTTTATTACATGGTCTAAAACTACACGTATGTACTAGAAGTGTGTTTAATCTGTTTTATTACATGTTCTAAAACCATACGTATGTCTTAATAGTTAGGATCAAATATTGCAGCTAACCCAGCCTCAGGACGTTTTGCGATTTGAAACTACCATACAATAATATATCTGTTTATAACATATTGTATCTTAGGCTAATCTGCATATACATACATCACGACCCTAAGGGCTTATTGATCTTTTATCGATCTACATCTCAAATGATGTGATAAAAAGAGTGGAATGTGCAATAAAACCAGCAAAAATCAACATGTGAACTACGGATGTTTGAATTTACAACCTAACAAAACACATTAAAACAATTTTTAAAACTTGAAGTATCTGGAGAAAAAATTCTTGAAACTTTTGGTCTTGACGACCGCCAGAAGAATTGAAAGGAGTAAAATGTATGGTGTCAAGTGTGAAGAACTTTAAGATAGGGTGAAAATAGTCGCATCAATAGTGTCTAAAAAAGTCGCATAAATATTGGCTAAAATAGTCACAGAAATAGTGGGTAAAATTTATAGCATTAATAAAGCGAAAAAAGTCCCGTAAAAAGAAGCTAAAATAGTTGTAGAAATAGTTAATCTACAGTGGTTAATGTAGTTTCTAATGTAACAGCTTCCCTGTGTGCCCCTATATAGATCAGTGGTGTTATGGTAGTTTATATCATGACCAGTATATTTTCTAAATTAGTAGCCCAAGTTGTGGTCAAATATGATAACTGATGTCCTTGAACGTTCAATCGGCTGCTGAGTAAACAGACGATATGTGTCGTCTGCTGTCGGAGTTTGGCTGGATTAACCTAATTATTCAGTTCATATTATAGTTTTTACACCGTAGGTATAATTAATTAGTTTAATGTGATAATTTTATTACAATGTTATTTTGTGTTTCGGGGATTTCTGTTTCTTGTGAAATTTTGGCATAGTGAATTTTAAGACGTTTTTGAAGAAAATACACACACACACGCATATATATATATATATATATATATATATATATATATATATATATATATATATATATATATATATATATATATATATATATATATATATATATATATATGTATGTATGTATTTATTTTATTTTTTAAAATTTATTTATATATTTATATTTATATACTGTGGTCAAAAACGTAATTTTATTTTCGATTATTATTTCGCTTACACTTTAAAAGTTTCTACATAAGAATACTGGCAAAAATATAAATATAGTTATTTTCTTTACTTAAATTACCTAAAAAAGTTTATTTATCAGAGAACTAAAAAAATGTATAAAGTGATTTTGATTTTTTTTTCAACCCACCTTATTGAAAAGTGAATTCGTATAAATCCAGCTTTATTGAATCTCTCGATGGCATCAAGAACGATAAACCACGACAACTCTCGGCCACCGGTGGAGATATCAGATTCTCCTCTGTGATAGCTTGTTGTTTTTTCTGGAGTTGAGATTTCAAAACAATTTTTTTTTAACTCGTGATTGAGAATGTATTGGCTGGTGATTCTAGAGCTGTAGACGTCTACATTGATGCTGAGAGTCGTGTTGGTGTTACTGTGATTTATAGCATTGCATATGTAGCCTCAGAATGTAGCCTTGGTGGTATAATTCTATGCTGTAACCTTGCTGCTGTAGCTATAGTGTGTAACGTTGCTGCTGTAGCTATAGTGCGTAACCTTGCTGCTATAGTGTGTAACTTTGCTGCTTTAGTGTGTAACTTTGCTGCTGTAGTGAGTAACTTTGCTGCTGTAGTGTGTAACGTTGCTGATGTTGCGTGCTTTAAGCGTGAGTACACCACGTCCAAACAAAGTCACGGTCCAGCGCGTCGAGACGCAGGAACCAAAAATCTTCCACCGAGCCCCTGTCCGTGTGAAGCCAGGAATCGAGTGCCAGCGAGAAGCACGAGTTAATGAGAGACGATCCTGACTTAATTTTCCTCCCACGGGTGCCAAATCAGCCTCGCCTCCCCGCCTGCGTTTTCGTTGGCTGGGGAAAAAAAAATTGAAAACCAAAACAAGCTCACCCGACGCCGTGATCTCAGTACTTGCTGGCTTAACTCAGGCAGGGAGTTAAACAATCCTAGCAGGGGAGCTAAACAGAATTAATTGCACACACAAAGTTGAAATAGCTTTAAGCTCTGGAAGCTCTCATATAAAGCTCGAGCGTAATCCGTGAGAGCTGAGCCAAGGCCGACTACTCAAATGTTCTGGGTTTGGGAAAAAATAGTAAATAGGGAAAAGCGATTTCTGGAATCGCAGAAGTCGCGGAAAGTCGATGAATCCTGCAGGAGGCGGGAGTTTCTTGGCAGCAGGTAGCCTCGCATAACCAATGAGAGCTGGTGTTGGGGTGGAGCGTCGTGAAGTCTGGAACCAATGGTGAGATAGGGTTAACAGCGTGTAGGCGTGGCGTGCTGTTAGGGTAACGCTGTAAGCGGACAGTGGTGGGGGTCTGGTATAAAGAGAGAATCGGCTCCCAGAGTAGTTGATTAATGCACCACGACGGCCTTCGCAACTTGTATCCAAACGTGATACTCACACTTGACGTGTCTCTCTGGCGTTTAATATTACATCTAAATAAGGCTGCTTTTGGCAGTTAATAGTTTTAGACGAGTCTACGATATTACCTTCATTTATAAATGATTGAAAGAATAATCCGTTTTCATTTTAATATCTTCACAGTTTTAAAAGATGAGAACAGAAGTACAATGCAGGTAGAGGGTGGTAAAGTAATTTTGCCTTTAGACCTAGTGATTCGTTGGGCAGTTGGAGTAGAGTTAATGTCTCTTGACGTCGTATATGAACGGATAGTGTGGTCAGCACTATGCCTAGCCGCCTTTACTTTCCCCAACAAAGTCAGGTACATATCAGAGCTGGATAGACTCATGGGTGTAACTGTATTACAGTCCAAATCCAGAACGGACTCGAGACTTTAGGGCTAGCAGCCATACGATCTATTCTTTGACCACGCCCTCCCATCCGTTTGAGGGCATCTAGCGGCAACTGCTGGCATTTGATGCTTCTAGTCTGGCTGTCTAGCACTTGCAAAAACTAATGATTAGCTCTGTATTGAGGTGAGGACTAGTGTTAGGATTAGGTCAGGATTAATTGACATGGACCTGATAAACAGACATGGCCGCCAGTTGACCAAAGCTGTTTCTGATTTCACGACTTCTTTCGTTGTTGGCAGCAGGTAGCCTTTCGTTGTTTAGTCCAGCTCCAAGATTACATGAGAAATGTGTGCTCCAACCTCTACAGGTTATCACACATTAATGTAAGGGCGATGGTTATTGTAGTAGCGTCGAGATGCTAACATATTAAAGGGGAAAAAAACGTTGTTGTTTTTTTTGTTTAATCGCCACCCCACCCACACACTGACCACTGTTTACAAACACCAAAGCCTAGCAACGCCACAGAGAAAAGAAGACATTTTGACTTTGCTCGATTACATGATGTAATCTGCTTTTATGCCTACACAGAAACTCAAGGCTTTATTTTAATATTAGTTTTAAAAAATAAAACAATAAAAAACAACAATCAAGCTATTATTTAAATGTGCAGCTGTCTAACTCTCAACTTGTCTTCTGAAATGTCAGTTACCATCTGAAGGTCGATGAACCCTGTACAACAGTTACAACGGTACCAACATGTAACAGTCTTAGAGTGTGCCTTTAAGCGAACCTCACTTTACTTCTAAAGACACAGAGAGGCAAGTTCCAGAAAGTCTATGGATCAGATCACCTCTAGATATGATCACGTGATACCGGTTGTGGAATGGCGAACTCTCTGGCACGCTACTAGCAGCCATTAACGTCAGGGATATGCCAATTACATCAATTTGTCCGGGACTGGTCGGCTAGCACCGGCCCGTGGGCGGCCGGGCGGCTCTTGGAACATAATCTACGAGCAGCGCCCCCTCCCCAGAGATGCCATCTCTCCCATCCTCGGGCAGCGATCTACACAATACTGCACTAAGTAGGGGTGGGTCTACACAATACTGCACTAAGTAGGGGTGGGTCTACACAATGCTGCAGTAGGGGTGGGTCTACACAATGCTGCACTTAGTAGGGGTGGGTCTACACAATACTGCAGTAGGGGTGGGTCTACACAATGCTGCACTATGTAGGGGTGGGTCTACACAATGCTGCACTAAGTAGGGGTGGGTCTACACAATACTGCGTTAAGTAGGGGTGGGTCTACACAATGCTGCACTAAGTAGGGGTGGGTCTACACAATACTGCGTTAAGTAGGGGTGGGTCTACACAATGCTGCACTAAGTAGGGATGGGTCTACACAATACTGCAGTGGGGGTGGGTCTACACAATGCTGCAGTAGGGGTGGGTCACACAATACTGCACTAAGTAGGGGTGGGTCTACACAATACTGCAGTAGGGGTGGGTCTACACAATGCTGCAGTAGGGGTGGGTCTACACGATACTGCACTAAGTAGGGGTGGGTCTACACAATGCTGCAGTAGAGGTGGGTCTACACAATACTGCACTAAGTAGGGGTGGGTCTACACAATACTGCATTAGGGGTGGGTCTACACAATACTGCACTAAGTAGGGGTGGGTCTACACAATGCTGCATTAGGGGTGGGTCTACACAATACCGCACTAAGTTGGGGTGGGTCTACACAATGCTGCAGTAGGGGTGGGTCTACACAATGCTGCAGTAAGTAGGGGTGGGTCTACACAATACCGCACTAAGTAAGGGTGGGTCTACACAATGCTGCATTAGGGGTGGGTCTACACAATACCGCACTAAGTAGGGGTGGGTCTACACACTACCGCACTAAGTAGGGGTGGGTCTACACACTACCGCACTAAGTAGGGGTGGGTCTACACAATACTGCACTAAGTAGGGGTGGGTCTACACAATGCTGCATTAGGGGTGGGTCTTCACAATACTGCACTAAGTAGGGGTGGGTCTACACAATGCTGCATTAGGGGTGGGTCTACACAATACCGCACTAAGTAGGGGTGGGTCTACACAATGCTGCATTAGGGGTGGGTCTTCACAATACTGCACTAAGTAGGGGTGGTTCTACACAATACTACAGTAGGGGCGGGTCTACACAATACTGCAGTAGGGGTGGGTCTACACAATACTGCACTAAGTAGGGGTGGGTCTACACAATGCTGCATTAGGGGTGGGTCTTCACAATACTGCACTAAGTAGGGGTGGGTCTACACAATACTGCAGTAGGGGTGGGTCTTCACAATACTGCACTAAGTAGGGGTGGTTCTACACAATACTACAGTAGGGGTGGTTCTACACAATACTGCAGTAGGGGTGGGTCTACACAATGCTGCATTATGGGTGGTTCTACACAATACTACAGTAGGGGTGGTTCTACACAATACTGCAGTAGGGGTGGGTCTACACAATGCTGCATTAGGGGTGGTTCTACACAATACTGCAGTAGGGGTGGGTCTTCACAATACTGCACTAAGTAGGGGTGGTTCTACACAATACTACAGTAGGGGTGGTTCTACACAATACTGCAGTAGGGGTGGGTCTACACAATGCTGCACTAAGTAGGGGTGGGTCTACACAATGCTGCATTAGGGGTGGGTCTACACAATGCTGCATTAGGGGTGGTTCTACACAATACTACAGTAGGGGTGGTTCTACACAATACTGCAGTAGGGGTGGGTCTTCACAATACTGCACTAAGTAGGGGTGGTTCTACACAATACTACAGTAGGGGTGGTTCTACACAATACTGCAGTAGGGGTGGGTCTTCACAATACTGCACTAAGTAGGGGTGGTTCTACACAATACTACAGTAGGGGTGGTTCTACACAATACTGCAGTAGGGGTGGGTCTTCACAATACTGCACTAAGTAGGGGTGGTTCTACACAATACTGCAGTAGGGGTGGTTCTACACAATACTGCAGTAGGGGTGGGTCTACACAATACTGCACTAAGTAGGGGTGGTTCTACACAATACTGCAGTAGGGGCGGGTCTACACAATACTGCACTAAGTAGGGGTGGTTCTACACAATACTACAGTAGGGGCGGGTCTACACAATACTGCACTAAGTAGGGGCGGGTCTACACAATACTACAGTAGGGGCGGGTCTACACAATACTGCAGTAGGGGTGGGTCTACACAATACTGCACTAAGTAGGGGCGGGTCTACACAATACTACAGTAGTGGCGGGTCTACACAATACTGCACTAAGTAGGGGCGGGTCTTCACAATGCTGCACTGCAACAATTCTTGATAATACCTTTAAACCTAGCGCATTTGTGTACGATATCATCAACCTTAAGAGTCCAATACCAGATTGTAAAAAATTTATAATAAAAATTATTTCCGGAAAATTGAAAATAAAAACGTTAATTTTATTCGACTACAGATTTTATAGGCAACGACACAAAAACGCAAAAAATTAGTCTAAAATCAAAGCAGAGTTGACAATAGTAAAAATTGTGTTTTTGTCAATTTTGTCTTCATGGGGGCCGTTAAAAAAAGCTAAGCTAGAACTTTTATTTTTATCTTATATTTTAAGAATAATTGATGGAAAAGTGTCAATTGTAGAGAACTTGAAAATATTTGTGTGTTTAATGCTACATTTCTATTTATTTTCATCAAGCCTAAATTATAACCTGAAATTTCACTTTCGTAATACAAACATTGATTGGCTGACTAGAAACTCCCTCATCCCTCATCCAGTAAACTGTTTGATAAAATTATATTTTAAACCCGCATGCTCTAGTTACGCCATGTTTATGTTGATTTTTAGTGACAAAATGTAAACAACCAAATTGTTTTTTCTTTTTTTTTTGTTGTTTTTTTTTTTTTTTGTTTACCGAAAATACTAAAAAAATCAATTACTTCCAATCTTTAGTAAATCAAATAAAAAAATAAAATAATAAAAAACACAAAAAGTTCAAATTATTTTAACTATTTATTTTAATAACATAGTACACGATTTTTAAATATATCAACGGCCTTTCGAAAGGCGCTGATAAAACAAGCATTCGAGAACATTCTCATGCCTAGTGCTGGGGGGGGGGGGGGAGCCAAGAAATACGTTCCCATGTCCAGCGGCGATCGGTCATGCGCTGGTCAGGTCAGGCACCAAACTATGACAGCCGCCAGCAGAATCGTGACAGCTCAAACCTCGACTCAGCCCTTTGTTCTTCCCATCCGTCTCACGCCACCTTGTCAAGACACCATTCACCATCCCGTGGTGTTTGTCAGCTGGTAACAACTTGACGTTTCACTGGCTAAAAAATGTTCGACTCAAAGAACAAAAAATACATCTACGTAGGGGATAAAAAAATATATTATTTTATTTTTTTTTAAACCAACGCAATGTTACGGACACGTCCACGATTGTGTCCATACATAAAAAAATTTGTTTTAAAGAAATTACTTTGAAGCTATTTTATTTTATTTTATTTTATAAAGCAAGCATAAATCCTTAAATTACCAGTTTTGGTATCTTAGAAAAGTTTTTGTAAATAATTGTAGGGCATGTTTATCTGAATGGCATTTTCCCCGAATGCCGATTGACAAAAATTGAAAGATTTTTTTTTATATTGATTTAAAAAAAAGAGTTAATTATTTTAAAATCTAAAAAAGAATTAAATATTCAGTTGCTTATGCATTTAGCTGTTTGACTTATATCTACAAATGTAGTACAAGACTATTGGTTTAAAAAAAAAATATAAAGAGATTATCGCTTTTCTTTATACGAAATCTATGAAACTAGCTGAAGCCATCAACTCTGTTAGAGATTTGAAGCCGTTTGATTATTATTATCAGCCGGTACCGTGAAGACTTCCATGCCGTTGCCCCGAAGGTCAAGCCGGTGCCGTGAAGGTCATACTGATAACGAGGCGCTAGAAACAAATTACACGCATCACGGAGCCGCATCGGCAAGATCAAAAGTCTGGCCGGACAGCCGGCATCATCCATTATGGCTGGAGGCCGGCACAGATCCGGCAGTGGTTGTCCTTGGTGCCGGCAGCCGGTCTTGCTGTCAGCTCCTTGCTAACCGGCACGGACAACAAAAGGATGTCTGCGACTTATCCACGGAAAAATTTGTTTCAAGTCCTCAACGATCGGTCACAAACAGCTGGCGGTGGTCTATAAGTGTGCGATATTTTCCGCTGTTCGTAAAGTTGGCTTGGGAGAAAACAAACGGATTAAAATATTTGTGACAGCATGTCATACAAGTTAAAACACATGTTGCGTAGGTTAAGGTCACTGGAAGGTCACACAACAAATAGGGGATTATTAGGGACTGGTCAGTAGTTGACGTCACGCATCTATCAGGGGATGTGGGGTGGGAGTTCATATTTTTCCGACTATGAGCTGTCTGAGTAGATCTAGAGGGTTCAATACATTATCTTTACACTGTCACTAACTTACATGAAATCCTGATGACACTAAAAACCAAAGCCGAACAAGATAAAAATAACTTTGTATTAAGATGACCACATCGTTTCGCCGCAAGTCGGTGAGCGCAATGAACGTGAGAAGCCCCTTCTGAAAATATTTTGTGAGACCAGCGTGACCATTGGAGTCGAACACACAGATGTTTACAGCCAACTTAGGTACAGGGAACTTATTAAAGGCATATGAACATTAGCAGCGATACAGCTAACCACCCCAACAGTTAGCAGCGATACAGCTAACCACATACAAACAGCAGCGATACAGCTTACCACATACAAACAGCAGCGATAAAGCTTACTACATACAAACAGCAGCGATACAGCTAACCACATACAAACAGCAGCGATACAGCTAACCACATACAAACAGCAGCGATACAGCTAACCACATACAAACAGCAGCGATACAGTTAACCACTCACAATCAGCAGCAATAGAGTTAAACACATGTGAGCAATGCGGTAAATACAGTTGAACATTTTCATGCGGGTTTAACCATCTTTATTTAATACACACTTTATTCATTGATCCACAGCATTGGCACTGAGCCACTTCGCTACCAGAGAGTTCGATTCCCTACATTCCCTTCAGCATTCCCTTCAGCAGTTCTAGAGTTGAGGTGCTCGGCAAATCCCTAGGGAAGAAAATCGGGACTAGTTTTTCTAAAAAATATTCTACTGGTACGTGTAATTGTTACATATTATGTTAGTGCATTTCTATATATATGAATGCGTCTTTTTAAAATAAATTTTGGTACATATAATTTTTTTATTTATTTTAGAAGATTCCAATACTTGCAAGTGATGCTAATTAGGAAACAAAATAATTTAGAACTATAGCAAACAAAAAAGAAAAAAAGACATTTTTTAAAGGAAAAATTTAGATACCGTTGTAGAATCTAGATATTACGTTTAAAGTTATAACATAATATAATAAAAATAATAAATGTAATTGAAAATTTTAAAACTTGTTCAATATTTTATTAGGTAGCACTAAATCCTGTAAAGAAACGCAATTAAAAATATAAATGCGTTTGATAGAAGCTTACATGTTTTTTTCCTATTTTGATATGTTGGAATATCTTGAGTTTTATTTATCATAAGTATAATATATTTGGTTCTAAATATTTTAAATAGAATATATTAAGTATTGATGACCTCAAATATTCTGGAAAAAAGAATTACGTAAATCATTTGAAATAGCATAAAAAAAATTCAAACCAGATTCTCGCTTTACACGACGTACCGCTTTACACCACTTACCGCTTTACACCACTTACCGCTTTACACCCCTTACCGCGTTACACCACTTACCGCTTTACACCACTTACCGCTTTACACCACTTACCGCTTTACACCACTTACCGCGTTACACCACTTACCGCTTTACACCACTTACCGCTTTACATCACTTACCGCTTTACACCACTTACCGCGTTACACCACTTACCGCTTTACACCACTTACCGCTTTACACCACTTACCGCTTTACACCACTTACCGCGTTACACCACTTACCGCTTTACACCACTTACCGTTTTACACCACGTACCGCATTACACCACTTACCGCTTTACACCACTTACCGCTTTACACCACTTACCGTTTTACACCACGTACCGCATTACACCACTTACCGCTTTACACCACTTAACGCGTTACACCACTTACCGCGTTACACCACTTACCGCGTTACACCACTTACCGCTTTACACCACTTACCGTTTTACACCACGTACCGCATTACACCACTTACCGCGTTACACCACTTACCGCGTTACACCACTTACCGATTGGGAACGGATCCAGGACAGACACACATCGCTCAGCTGTGTTGAGGCACGGACACCCTGGTCGGCTCATCCCTGGGATGGGCACGTAACAAGCTGGGGACATAGTTAATGGTAGAGGATGGGTGGGGGGGGATGGTTGGGGGGATGGGTGGGATGGGTGGGGGAGATGGGTGGGGGAGATGGGTGGGGGAGATGGGTGGGATGGGCGGGGGAGATGGTTGGGATGGGTGGGGATTGGTGGGGGAGATGGGTGGGGGGATGGGTAGGGGAGATGGGTGGGGGAGATGGGTGGGGGAGATGGGTGGGGGAGATGGGTGGGGGAGATGGGTGGGGGAGATGGGTGGGGGAGATGGGTGGGGGAGATGGGTGGGGGAGATGGGTGGGGAAGATGGGTCGGGGAGATGGGTGGGATGGGTAAGTAGAAAGCTGGGGACAGAGTTACTGGTAGAGGATGGGTGGGGGAGATGGGTGGGGAAGATGGGTCGGGGAGATGGGTGGGGGAGATGGGTGGGGAAGATGGGTGGGGGAGATGGGTGGGGGAGATGGGTGAGCGAGATGGGTGGGTTGAATACGTTTCGCATTAGTGTATACCGATGAGGATGAAGCCCGGGGGGGGGGGGGGTTAGACTGAAATCAGTCCAGTGAAAAGTTCAGTGTTGTCAGCATTTTGTTCACAGTTAAAATACCTGCGTCCACTGTTCACAAAGTGTTGGACTAGTGACGTAGGGGATGTAAAACATCGGTTGAATGTGGTCTGTGTGTCCGTCATACTGTCCAGCTTTAGTTTTTATTGAACATCTAGACCTAACATACGTTAAGCCAATCACTGGTTTTTAATTAATACTAATTTTGAATGAAGTCTGTCAGTTGAAACTTAGATACTGTTTTTATTGAGGACGAGATGACAAAATATCTCAGACAAAATATCTCAGACATAATATATCATGACAAATGATCTCAGACAAAATATCTCATTACTAAATACGTATAATATTTAATCGATTGAAAGTTCTAAATTGCTGGAGGTGGATGGGGTGATACCCCAACTAGGCACGCCACTGCACCTAATCACCAAACTGTGACCTAGGTAACTTTTTTGTCCTACATACAATGAGCCCATCAAGGCTGTCTATAGAAAAGTTCTTATTGATAACACAAACATTAAGTTCACTTTGTCAATTGTCTTTTTTTTTTTAAATCTGCGTATGTTATAGTACTAATTACAATAAAAAAGGAATAATATGCCACAAAAAAAGTTTCATTTAGAATGACAAATTTCTGACGTTTTAGTTCTATATAGTGAAAGTACAACGTACCCGAACCGCTGAGAACCCCAGCCTTACAGTACCCCTCCACCTGCCTGACCTGGTTGTAGTTTTGACCTTTGTACTGGCGGTTGTAGGGGTCGTATAGGTTTTGTTTGGGGCAGCTCTGCCCGGCCGTGGTGTCGATGGCCCACACACAGCAGGTGCCCTTGGGGCAGTCCTCGTTGGACTTACACTTCTTTAGACGTACACAGTAGCCTGCCGACATGTAGGTAGAGAAGCTTCATAAGTTCATCAGAACTTCTACGTTTGTAATGACTAAATTCAATAGATGATTGCTACATAAAATATGATGTAACAATTGTGATATTTGAGCGAAATAAGCCATTACATATTTACATACCTGATACTGAGATTACAAAATTAGTTAAATGCTATTTATTTCTATAAATAGATGGTCAGGATTTAAATCATGTAATTTAGTTGATTGGACATTACATCCGATGGCGAACTGAATTTATCTCGTGGTGGTTTTCACATGGGGAAACTAACTTTGTTCTGTACAACTTATTTTTTAGTCCAGGGATTATTTTGTAGTGAAGAGCTTACTTTATACTGTTGGACTTACTTCGATTTGTAGGACTTATTCTTAAGGACTTACTTTGTCCTGTAGGACTTACTCTGTCCTCTATGATTTACCTTGTCCTGTAGAAAATACTATGTCCTGTAGGACTTACTTTGTCCTGAAGAACTGACTATGTCCTGTAGACCTTACTTTGTCCTCTATTACTTACTTTGTCCTGAGGTGACGTTGAGCAACAGACCGACACACGTCGATGACCTGTGGGTCTCGATACAGCACTGGTCACTCCTACACGTGATGTCCGAGCACGGCCCGGGGTAGGACTGGTCGTACATGGGGTTCATGTTCTGGGCAGCCATAGGGTTCATGTTTAGGGAAGCCATAGGGTTCATATTTTGGGCAGCCACTGGGATAATCTGTTAAAAGATATGGTTGATGTCATGTCATAAAGGGTTAACATTTTGTTAAAAAAAAACAAGGTCGACATGTAAATGTGTACACTGTTTTCAGTCCTTGTATTTTTAGCGCAATTTCCATTCTGGAGAATTGCGTTTATTAACTCGTCTTTTCTGGGAATGGATGGATGGATGTATGTGTGTCCGCAGCTTTAAGTCGTATCTCCTCCTCAACGAAGCAATATCGAGGACTAGTTCCAAAAGCAATTATGTTAAGCAAGTTACGAGGATGAACATAAGCTATAAAAATTCCGGGTTTCTTTCATGGATTTCCCGGAAAAGCCAAAAAAAAACTCGAAAAAATGCAGTTTTTTGCCCATATCTCGGCAACCAGACCACTTAGCGACTTGAAACATGTACCAATTGATTCCTGCCATAATTTAGAACAATATTGCCGAAGAAAGTTTTCAAAAATATCCTTTCGTTTGGTCACAAAAAATTTTTTAAATTAATGGACACCAGCGAGAAAAGTCTCAAAGGTATTTGAGAGGTGTATAAATTCATTAAAAATCATGCACAGCGTATTTACAATTAATATGGTTATAAAATCCTGCCTGTCTGGTTTTTTTCGGACTTTACTAAAGATTGGATGTATTTGATGTTTATAATATTTTCGGTAACTAAATAAAAATTAAAAAAAAAAGCAAAAACAATTTGGTTTTCACGTGTAATGGCGACATAAACATGGCATCCTGCTATTGGATAGGCTGCCATAGATTTTATTGTACACATTGTAAGCTAAAAATAGAAAACTAGGTCATGGGGTTTTAAATTTGCATTGTTATTTAAAAACTTGATCTGCAAAGTTTTGTAAACAAATAGTTATCGATCACTAAGTTACTGTACAGCCAATCAATATTTGTCTTACGAAAGTGAAACATCCGGTTATAACTTAGGTTTGATGAAAATAAATAGAAATGTAGCCTTAAACTCAACAAATTATTTTCAAGTTCTCTGGATTTGCAACTTTTATAGCATTTATTCTAAGAATATAAAATTTCTAAATTAATTTTAGGCTTAAGTTTTTATTTTTTATTTTTTTTTACGGTCTAAATCTAAAAAAAAAACACGTTTTTATTCCATGACAACAACATTATGGAAGGAATCTCATCAACTCGCTCGCCTCCATTAAAATTTGGACCAAATTAGTAGGCATTTTATGCAATCTCACCACACGCGTCATCACGTTCGATAGCTGCGCCATCACGTTCAATGGCTGCGACGTCACGATCGGTAGCTGGGCGCGCAATGGTTTTTAGTCATGTTACTCTATTGTAAATAAAACATGTAAAATACTGAAAAAAAAATTAATAATAAACCGGGAGTGATCTCCCCTAAACTTTCTCGAATATTCTTATATAAAACAACAGGGGATGGGAACTCGGGCTATTGACATGATTTTTAATCCATTTTAAATACTTAAAGTTTTAAAAATAGAATAAAATCTCGTAGACAAAATAATTGCACGCCAAGTGAACTAGTGAACGCCAAATAAAAAAGTGCACAATAGCGCGCAATATTATTAGTACTTTAAAAATTTACATTAGTTTTTTGAGAAATCGGAAGTAGCGTAAATTACTACTTCCGGTCAACGGAAATTACTCAAAATTTAACAGAAGGTAGAGAATTAGATCTTTTACTTACATGTGAAATTTCATTTATCTATCTGAAATAGTACTCAAGTTATAGGCTTTTGAAAAATTCAAAGTAGGAAAAGTACCACTTCCGGTTATCGGAAATCGCTCAAAAGTTGATACGGATCTACGATTTTGATAAAATACTTATATATGAAATTTCATCAACCTAGCTATAACGGTACTCAAGTAATCGTGTTTACACACGGACACACACACAGACACACAGACATACGGACAGAATTGCAAAGCCCAGTTTTTCAGACTGGATTACGCATAAAACCTCTTAATTTTGATAAATCTGGATTGATAATTTTTGCCCGATTAAAATAAGTCCTCTATACTTCGGATGTGATGAAGGACTGAGGTGTAATACGGTGAAAATTGTTAAAATTTCAAGTGATTTTTGTGCACGATTACAATACTTTCTCTATACTTCGTATATACGAGAAAGTAAAAAAACGTTTTAATAACTAACCAGTGGTTTTACTAACCCTGCTCTTGATTTACGCTACGACAGAGCTATTTTTAGATAACACAAGGAAATTGCGCTAAAATTGTCACTAGACTTTTTTTAATTACTTGTTTTAATCTTTCACTGTGGCGTTGTTGGAATAAATTCAAAACTTCAAATGTTGAGTTTTTTGGGGGTTTTTTTACCACTGAAAATACATAAAACCGCGAAATACGTTCAAATTGCACTGTACAGCTTAATATTTTTTAAGTAAGTGCTTAATCACGTTATCATTTGTTTGTTGTAAATGTTAAATGACCACTGTCTAGTTTGAATACTTTACCGAAAAAGCAATAAAAATCACAAAATTTTATATATACCAAAATAATGCGGGAGCGATCTCCCTTAGACTTTCTCGTATATTCTAATACAACAGTAAGGGTTAATTGAGCTAAAGAAGTATATATGGGTGTGACAAAACTGATAGTTTTTCGAGTGCTTATAATATACTACTTTAAAATGTACTATATATAAAATTCTCATGTTGTTGTATTTTTTAATATAAATGGGAAATAACATAAATTCCTGCATCCAGTCAACGAAAATCAATCATTTTTAAGAAACTAGTGAATAAGATGTTATACATATATAAGAAGTGAAACTGTACTCTAGTTATACGTATTTTAGAAACCAGAAATAAAACTCAAGGAATGATAATATCTGAAGTCACTAAAAAAATTAACATAAATCCAACTTTTACATCTTACACTTATATAAGAAATTTCGTCTACCTAATTAAAACAATAAAGTATCACGTAAGCTGAACGCAAATCGTTCAAAAGTTTATAGAAACATGCGCATACTTTTATAAGAAATTTCGTCCACCTAACTTAAACATTTCTCACGTTATCAAAATACAAGAAGTAGAGTATATTATCGGTTATCGTAATGCGCTCATAAGTTGATAGTAAACTAAACATTTGTTACAATACTTATATATGAAATTTCGTCAACATAACTGAAACTGTACATAAAACATCATGTTAACATGACAGACGGACACGATTGCAAAATTATTTTTTTTCCGACTCAGGGATGTATAAACGTCGAGGTTTATAAAAATCTCGATTTAGCTTTCTTGGAAAACAACTAGTCCTATATACTATGTATACGATTAAGCAGGGAGGTGTTATAAACCGTCAAAATCTCATTTGATTTGTGTTCACAGTAACAATACTTTCTCTACTGTATACGAGAAAGTAAAAAAAAAACCACCGTGGTGGTGCTAGAGACGAGAGGAAACACACCAGTGAGTGAAGTGAGCGTTTATCTACAAGGGGAAAATTATCTGATCACAGATTTTTTAAAAGTGCACGTATCTCAAACGTGTATGCCCATTTAAGGAAGCTACTATTTGTCTGTATCATCTTCCTTATACTTGTGTGTCCTGTGTGCGGTCGAATAATAGTCCGTGTTGTGTTTATGAGGCCAGCGGTCAGTTGGTATCCTTCGGGGTCAGAGTTCAAGCCTGCCCGCGTTTTCCGCGCTCAAGCTGTGATAGTGGTCAGCCATGAAAGCTCCATTAGAGCTGATTGACTGAGGTGGTTACACATCTGACTTGATGCCTGGAAGGTTCGGATCCGTTTGGGTTAAAACTGCTCTGTCTTTACTCGGACTATATTCTGTACCTCTGTCTACCCTGGGCGTTAAAATATCCCTTTCTATTTACATACGTATCTCAAACCTAACTTTTCTCATCGTCTGATGATATACTTCTGCTCCAACCAAATAAAACCGAGCAGAGGTGTGTCGTATCTTTACCTCATTCGCTCCAAGGCCTGGACATCAGCAGTGGTCACGTGGTAATCCTTACCGCTACTAAAATAAATAGATTGGGCTTGTGGAATGTGAATCAACGAAACCCTTTTTTTGTGCGTGGTAAAACCATTGTAGGGCTGATATAACGGTGGGAGGAATAAAGAGGGGACATCTCTTTTCAAAAAGGAGGAGGAGGGGAGTGAGTGTGAAATCCTGAAGATCGACTATGAAAACTAACATAATTTATTTTTAAATATGGCTTATAAGATGAATATTTTATTTCAAGACTATTCTTACAGAATCGTTTCTTTTTTTTTTACAGAAGATGTGTGAACAAAACATTTCAAGACTGAAATCATCTTAATATATAAAAGACCATGTGCGAACTTCTCTCTCTGTCCGCAAAATATTTTCGCCTGATATCACATCAGAATCTGCAGCGATATATGAAGAACTTGATACGCACTTAAATTGAAAATAATATGGTAAATGTTTTAAATGTATAAACACAATTTTATTTAAAGAAGAAAATAAAAAATTAAGGCATATTCAAAAGTAGAAAAACAATTTTAATTACGAAGTGTCTACTCGGAATAAGAAGTTTCGGCAAAAGATAGTTCTGCGCATGCTCAGTGACCTATGGCTAGGGTTAGGGCTAGAATGAGGGTTAGGGGTAGGATTAGGGATAGGGTTAGGGATAGGATTAGGGCTAGGGTTAGGGATAGGATTAGGGCTAGGGCTAGGGTTAGGGTTAGGATTAGGGCTAGGGTTAGGGATAGGATTAGGGATAGGGTTAAGGATAGGATTAGGGTTGGTATTAGGGTGCTGCGGTTGTAAACACACGCATGCGCAGTACCATCGAAAACATCGCCGCTAAGGCAAGTCGTAGTTTCTCTCCATTGCGCATGCGTATCGCATGCGTATCTTATTCCGACTAGAATCGGAAAAATGTTTATAGTTGGGACAAGAACGAATTTAACAATGACGTCACTTAATGTTTATACTAGAGATGAGCACGAAACTAATGACGTCATCCTCCGATTTCAGAATATAAAGAAAGAAACCATTTCATTCAACTTTGATTTAGATCTAGATCAACGTAAGCCTACGCTATGAAATCTAGATCTATACAATACAATTTTCTCGGCCTAAACTTATAACATTAACATTATATATTTGGATTCTAGATCTAGATCTAGAGATTCTAAATTCTAGATCTAGATCTAGACTAGATCTAAATTCTAGATCTACGCAAAAACTAGACGCAGACGCTAGATCTAGATCTAGATTCTAGATTTAGACTTTATCTACTCTAGAATCTATTCAAATAATAAATTTCTATATTAAACAATTCAGCCTTAATTATTTTATAGAAATATTTGTTTGCTTAGCTATAGAATTGGCTAATTTGGGATAAAAAAATTTGAAAGAATATTAAAAATATATAGGCCTATAATTTACGTGTAACGGCAAACGATGGCTAGTATAGTTTTATTGGTAATTTAACAGCTTCGATCGTAAAACTACAAGGACTTAAAATATAGAAACAAGTATTCATCCTACTCTCTCTATATGTAACTTCAACATTGTTCAATTCAGAGAACATGAGATCCAATACGTTTCAGAAATAGTAGATCTGCAAGTTTGTTTAAGTCCAAGATCACTCTTACAATCAACTTCACATTAAATATCCTGAAATGTTGCAACATACGACGCAAATCAAAACTCAACAACTCACAAAAGCACTTTAAAGATGAGTGGTTCAACTTACCATCAAGGCGACCATCACAAAGTTAGCCATTGTGTTTGATCTGTTACAGTCTAGCAGGCAACCACGTTAGCAGACGTCTGACCATTTATATACGGCCGTTATTTTTTTTTAATGGGAGTACTAGGGGGATCAATGAGTCATAACGATTCTAATCTACGAGATGTGGCTGTGTTTGTACGAAGTATGTGCTCAAGGTTCACGATAACATACATTCATATACGTTACATACATAAATAAATAAACATACATATACATATATATACGCATACACACATATATATATATATATATACATATATATATATATATATATATATATATATATATATATATATATATATATATATATATATATATATATATATATACGCCGGAAAGCAAGGGAGGGGGAAGCGAGGCGTGCTTAAGTGGTGGTGTCCCGCATGTAGAGAATTATATATATATATGTATATATATATATATTCTTTTTTCTACGCATTGTCTTTAAATATTCGCTGAGGATGATCTATGGTATAAATTTTATAGAGCTATGTTTTGTGAGTGTAAAGAATTTTCGCGAACATTTGAATGATGACGTGTACTTACAGCTGTTTGCAAATATTTGAATGATGACGTGTACTTATAGATGTCCATGAATATTTAATGATGACGTGTACTTATAGATGTCCGTGAACATTTGAATGATGACGTGTACTTTTAGATGTTTGCAAACATTTTAATGATGACGTGTACTTACAGCTGTTTGCAAACATTTGAGTGATGACGTGTACTTATAGATGTCCGTGAACATTTGAATGATGACGTGTACTTTTAGATGTTTGCAAACATTTGAATGATGACGTGTACTTATAGATATTTGCAAACATTTGAATGACGACGTGTACTTATAGATGTCCGTGAACATTTGAATGATGACGTGTACTTTTAGATGTTTGCAAACATTTGAATGATGACGTGGACTTATAGATGTTCTCTGTTTATATAATAACGGGTAATCAATGTTTGCAAACATTTAAATGATGACGTGTACTTATAGATGTCCATGAACATTTGAATGATGACGTGTACTTATAGATGTCCGTGAACATTTGAATGATGACGTGTATCTACAGATGTTTACCAAATTTTGAACGATTATGGGCAATAGATGTTCGCAAACATTCGAATGATGACAAATAAAAATAAATATTCACAAACATTAGACTGAAGTATTTGATCAGCAGATGTACTCCAGCATTCAAATGATCACGTGATCAGGTGTATAAAGACATGACTTAAGGCTAAACATATTTGGACACAGTCTTACACGATGTAATCCGTATTGTGATCTAGATGTGCGCAACATCTGTAATAAGTATAGCGTAATGGTTTGATCGGGGTTAGTGTGGGTTGTCCTTACGGCAGTAGGTTTTGTTTAGTGCATAGTTGTCAGTGACATAGTCAGTGAATCTGTCCGTGACATAGTGAGTCTGTCAGTGACACAGTGAGTCTGTCAGTGACACAGTGAGTCTGTCTGTGACATAGTGACTTGGTCTGTCAGTGACACAGTGAGTCTGTCAGTGACACAGTGAGTCTGTCAGTGACATAGTGACTTGGTCTGTCAATGACATGGTTAGTTGTCCTGTGTAACTAATTGGTCGCAAAATTAAGAGAAGTGGCCATTTTGTGTGTCAAAATATTAAGTGTGTAGTAGGCCATCTTGAAAGGTTTGGTTTGGTGCGTCGTGTTGAACTGCGCTTCAAATAGTTGTCATAAAAGTTACTTGCTTCAAATCCTTTAATCTATCTGCTTCATGTATTCGCCCATCAAACTTGTTCAAATCGCCGATAAAATAGCCCATCAATCTAACAGGTAACACCTCTTTCAACCCGTGGATAAAGTAACTATAAAACATGCAGCTATCCGTTTCATATCACTGTGAAAAGAAGCACACTCAAGATTCCTAAACATTAGTTTACACAAATAAACGACAAGACAGCTTTTTTTTTCTTTCATGGACTGAATAATACAACTAGTTATTTTACTTCAGTGAAAAGTTCTACACTCTATAATGAACGAAATCGCAGTAGTTAATGCTGAGATTAAATTATTTTAAAATAATTTCATGTCGATGTTCAAATAATACATCGCTGTGTGATTATATACCCACCCACCACAACCATTTAATAACGATACTTGACATGTTATGATATTTACTCCATATATTTGTGTCTATCGACCGGCTAAAATCGATTCTCTTAATTACACATCTAAACTAGGGTGGTTATCAAGAATTTCTGGAATAAATTACACGTTGACTTGGCTTTTTTTCCTGTAATCTCTGTACTTATTCGTTTCTCTGGGTTTTAATTGTAAACTGATAGTTAACTGGTAATTAGTATATAATTGGACGATTGAGCGATTGATTATCTAAGCTAATTTTTTTTGTTCCCTGGTGGCTTAAATGTTGATAAAATAGCTGCAGAAATACACACCGTTATTGCTGTTGTTTGTGTAGACATCAGAGCATGGTTGGGGTGACATCAAAACTTAGCAGTGTCGCATGAATTAGCAAGAGCTAAAATGCCGAGTAAAACATTTTGTCATTTGGTGAAATAAATTGTTTTTGTGTCCATTAGAGTCCGCTGTGTGTACACCATCCTCCCATAGCCAGACATCGCAACATCAGCATTGGGGGATGGTCACATGACTAACTAAAAATATCTGTCACGTGATGTTGGAAGCACGGATTTAAGATTACAATAACACGACAGACGACATTAATATTGAAAACATGTGGGATACCACGACGGGTGACAGACGACAGACGGAGCTGTTGGAAAGCGTGACAGACGCCGCCTTGTTGAACCAAACCTCCAACGTGCTGATCTTCACCCTGCCCGAGAACTACTCTCTCCTCCTCACCGTGTTCTGTACGCTGGGGATTGTGGGTAACGTCCTGAACCTGATCGTCTTCTGCAAGCTGGGGTTCCGTGACGCCATCAACATCAGCCTCCTGGCACTGACCGTCTCAGACATCGGCTCGCTGCTGACCCTGCAGTGGATGATGCTCTGCTACTACCCCCCGTTCTTCACCTCCGACCTCCCGTTCGACTCTCGCGAGATCGAGAACATCACCGGAAGTTGGCCTCGCATTTGTTTCATCCGGGTCACCGGTTTCGTCACAGCCTATTTCACCATAGAGCGCTGCGTCTGCATCGCCCTGCCACTTCAAGTCAAACACATCCTCACCCCTTCCAGAACGTTCTGCGTCAACGTGTTCATTTACCTCTTCATGATCGCCAGCGTTCTTCCCATCTTCCCCGTGACGTCATTCGTGTGGAGGTCATCCCCCCTCACAAACCGCACAATCCTGGGTCTCAGGTTCGAAGATTCCAGAGATCACGTGGCCAGCCTGCTTTACGCACTCAACAGCTTCTACGGACTGGTCACGTTCGTGATCATCATCCTCGCCACGTCAGTCCTGGTCGTTCAACTCAACCGGATGTCAAAATGGCGCCAAAAATCCGCGCCGGCCAATCAGACGCAATCGATATCGACGAGAGATCGAACCGTGACGAAGATGGTGACGTTGGTATCCACGGCTTTTATCGTCTGCTTCTCGCCTGGCACCGTGTCCTTTGTCTGCACGCTGCTGAGTCCCGAGTTCCGTCTAGACGGCCAGTACAAAGACGTGCTGCTCGGCTTGGTGTTTTCCGGCGAGTTCCTGGAGACTGTCTACTCCTGCACAACTTTCATCATTTACCTAAACACTAGTTCTAAATTTAGAAATGCTTTCATGGCTATGATTGTGTGCACTCCGCAAAAGCCGAAGAAGTTTCCAGACGTTTCCCAGCGCTTTAGACGGAATGACACGGACGTTGACTTGAGATCAGAATCAGACTAATGTTTGTGTCACGTGATCTGTTGAATTTTAATTACATGCCTGAGTCTCTGGTCTCTATAAGTCAATAGATCTAGCATGAACGGACTTACACAACATTAAGTATAGATCAGATTAAGGCGTGGTCGAATTGTAGAGCTTACGGCTGAGATAGTTCGGATCCCGTGTTCGAGTCTTTATAATTTCACTGAGTCCGCCCAGCTCTGATGGATAGCTGACTCCCATTATGGAAACAAAGTCAGCTGGGCATAGCGCTGATCACATTATCCCTTCGAAAGTCGAGGTCACTAAAACAGATGAGCTCTGATTCATCTGTCCCTATGTGTCTTGGGCACGAACGGAAAAAGATGATGATACATCTATATGACAGATCGCTGGATATATTTAAATAAAACTAGAGAGTGTAAAATTAAACTGATGTTCGTAATAAAGAATTCAGAGTAGACGTTGCTTGAAACATCAATTAATTAATAATGTGTTAGTTCAATATTGTGTTACTTCCTCATGTAATCATGTAATTATTTGTTACTTCCTGGAGCAATAATTTGTAACAAACGTGTGTAGATACGTCATTAATAAAACAAGACGCATCACTATATTGTCACTTACAATGCGTCGTATCCATGATAAACATACACACCTAACATTCATCTCCCACCTTCAACATACACACCTAACATACATCTCCCACCTTCAACATACACACCTAACATACATCTCCCACCTTCAACATACACACCTAACATACATCTCCCACCTTCAACATACACACCTAACATCTCCCACCTTCAACATACACACCTAACATACATCTCCCACCTTCAACATACACACCTAACATACATCTCCCACATTCAACAGACCTGAGATTTCCCATTGTATCAGTGTATTATGAAAACGATTTCTAGATTTGTTTTTCATTGGCATGAAGCAGGAAAACTCGGTCTGTAAACTGTTGAACTGTCTTCACCTCTAGTTAAATATCATCCCATGTTTGTGTGTGCATGCTCTCCCCTTGATTGAACTTTGAAACACAAACACATGAACCCCAAACGGGTTCTAGATCGAGGCTACGTCACGCCATCACCCCGCGCTACGTCATAAACCGCGGCGCTTGCCGGGAATGAAGCCATCAAGTGGGGGCTAATTTCGGTGATTTGCGGTGTTTTCCTGCGTCTGCACAGTTTTGATGAGCCCATACGTCACAGCTCGTGCAGAACGGAAGCCGGGAGTCTTTGAGCCCCAGCGGCCGTTAACGGGGTATCATTAAAATCTGCCGTCTCCGAGAGACCGCGAGTGCAACTCTCTGGGCCTGCATCCCAGCAGACAGGAACGTCGTAAAATATCAACAGAAATCTAAAAATAGATTTCATTTCTCGTCTTACCCCCCCCCCCCCCCCAACACACCCAACCCATACCCACACCTCGCTAGAGTTTACTTGGAATCGATATATTAAAGAAAACATGTATGTGTTATGTCAAATGTGATTCAAGTTCTTTAAATTACATGTCAGCGATTAAGGTATTCCCTTCATAAGCTGTTCAACGCTGGGAAAAAAGTTTTAAAGACTTGGAATAGCATATGACTAATTTTTAAAGACTTGGAATAACATATGACTAATTTTTAAAGACTGGGAATAACATATGACCAAGTTTTAAAGACTTGGAATAACATATGACTAATTTTTAAAGACTTGGAATAGCATATGACCAATTTTAAATACTTGGAATAGCATATGACTAAGTTTTAAATACTTGGAATAGCATATGACCAAGTTTTAAAGACTTGGAATAGCATATGACCAATTTTAAATACATGGAATAGCATATGACCAAGTTTTAAACACTTGGAATAGCATATGACCAAAGTCGATTTATGCAGTTGCACAAATAGGAAAAAGATAAGCAATAAAAAATGTAATTATGTGGTGAGAAAAAAAATTAAACAGGATAGTTTCTACCGCTAAATTTTTTTACTTTAATTGTCTAGTATGTTATCTCTACCACCAGGTTGTATAAACGTTACAATAACGAGTTTCGTGAAAGATGCAATATACGACATAGCTTGAATAGGATTCGTACATGAAATATACGAGGACTGAGCTTGACGTTACGCATATTTCTTTTTACACCCCCCCCCTCCAATTCACTAAACGCCAGCCACATTCGTTACATAATTACCGCCCCTACCTAGCCTTGACTTTAAGCTAAAACCAATATTTCCAAATTCCAGAATGGCCTGGAACCCCTAACGAAACCCATCTCGGCATCCCATCATTCCAGCCCGCGGCCCCTGTTCTACCGCATCACTCGGCCAGGCACGAAAGCCCTCGTCGCCCGGCTTAAAAACGAATCTTTTATTTGCGCGTCTCTCCCTTCAGGAAGTCCCGCACCTAATAAGTGCGCATGCCTACCCAAGACTTCCGTCGCGTAGATCCCGTCAACACCTCGTTTCTATGATTTACACCCGACACAAGTTTAGAGGTGGCAACACCGGAGACCGCACGCGAATTTGAACAGCGCGAAGACCTTAAGTACCGGAGTACGATCATCTAGACATTCCATAATGCTGAAACCTCAGGTCCTGTTCTCTAAGATAACTATGTCAACAGTTTAAAACTTTAAGTGGTTTTGACAAGGTCTAGCCTCAGCTTTGCATTGTTCTCGTATTATCAATTATAATTAACAGAAAAGCTAAGAAAATACCCGAAGTGAATTTTATTTTTATTTTAGGTGTAAAAACAAGCAAGACAGTCAACAGTCATCTCGGGTGTGTTTACCTACATACCGCCCGAGGGGTGCGAGGGTGCCCGGGGGTATCAGTTCCAGAAGCACCCATTGTCTTGCTAGTTATCACCCCAGTAATCTGAGGGCTTGTTTGCTCCGATGCCGTGTTTATCATCGGCTGAGGGGGACGCGTTTGTGTAACGGCTAATTACCGCGTGCGAAATATCTCGATTGTGTTCACCGCTAGCAAGTGCGTGTTGTCTTTCCTCGTGTATAGTAGTGTCGGGGAGGGGGGGGACGTGTAACGTGAAGGTGGGGGGTGGTTCAGGTCACATGGTTATGACTGGGGGTTCAAATCACGGGGTTGTAGGGTTAGGTTCAGGTCACGTGATTGTGGGTAAAAGATCACCACACAACATCTACCATCACCACACAACATCACCATCACAACCAACCTTCACCACACAACATAACCACAAACCTTCACAATCACCAAGCACATTACCACTACCACATCCATATCTACGATCATGAACTACCATCTATATAACCCACCAAAGAACGACTGCGACTAACCTTAGATGTGGGTGGTTGAAATTTTGAATTAGGTAACGAAAAAAATTGGCCTGATGCTAATTGATTTTAATTTAATTTAATGTCTGTTATAAGAAGGTGATCCTTTTAAAAATATTTAACAGAAACAATTAATATAATGTCTCTTTACTCATTAAAAATAATTGCCCAGCCTAAATAACTGTCCATATTTCAGTAGACGTTATATTTGAAGGCGTATTAGTTTCTCAGAAGTTCGCTTTAAAATTCTTTGAGTTATCTTTTCCCGAAGCAATTTTCCCCCATTACTCCGCTAACTTACTTCCCTTAGTGCGAGCAAATCAACTGGGTAACAGCAATTAAGAAGTGGACACAATTCCGAGATGTATTTCCAGATTACCTCCCCCTGTCGGCGCTAACAGCCGCCAACGGCTGACGGCAACTTATCAACTGGGTCGTCTGCTACCCGTGTGACGTCAGCGGTGTTTCACAATACCGCAGAATAAATAAAAAATGTACTATTCTTTCATTTGTGGTTTAGAAAATATTCAAAAAGAAAATATCCAAAAAGAATATATTTTTGTACATTTATAAAGACTCTAAAGGTTTGAAGATTTTAAATTTATTGAAAGATTACTATTTAAATTCTGACCCCTTTACTGTCAGAACTGTCTGCAACACAAGACCGTATCTTCTGCACCAAGCTGACCAAACTTCTTGATCAAACAACCCTTTCACAAATATCTACCGGACCAGACGGCTGTAGAACGTCAAACAAAAGTTTCATGCTTTTCTTGATAGACATTTAAATAGTAGTGCATTACAAAAGCAAAGAAAATACCCGAAGTGAATTTTATTTTTATTTTAGGTGTAAAAACAAGCAAGACAGTCAACAGTCATATCGGTAGTGTTTACCTACAATTTTTAAGAAAATTATTTATTCTTTTACATTTTAGTGCATTATTACATAAAAGCGTGTTATTAAACCGTTTTTTATGATATTTTCTTCAAATCTTGTAATTGGTCTTTTGACGCAGCTCACGCTTGCTAAAACCTGCCCAACTGTACACACATCCAACATAAGTATCTAATATATAAAGCCAAAGTCTGTATGTAATAAATTTGTCGTTGACATACTTGGATGGATTTAAGTGTTAGACTATTATCGTGCTCATACTCTAAATTTATGAGTTAAAAAATTACTATTGAAAGTGTTGGGAAATAATTTTCATTTTCCAAACTGATAGTAATAATTGTCGGCATGTTCATTAAACACAATTTTAAAAAAATAGCAAAATTTCTAATTATGTCTGAAAATTATTTATATTTAGTCCTTTAGCACTTACTTCCCTTTGATAAATTAGGAAAACACAATTACTTTCCTTTATAAAACATCGCATTAGTGGAAAAGAATTTACTTTTTATTACTTTGTTTTGGTGTTGGGAAAAAAAATAATTACATAATTAGCGGGGATTGATCAAGTGCAAATGTTGTAGGTATTTTACGAATAAGCTTGGAGTATTATAATTGTTCATTTTGTTTGGCACCTACGTTCGTTTAAGTGAGTGCAAAAGACTATGAATAAGTTGGGGTACTATAGTCGATTATTAAGCTGAAACGGGCTAGACTGTGAGCTCTTTGCGTTTATGTTCGCGTTAGTGATTTCGTTTTGATTTGGTTCGTTTTTGTTCTTTCTTTTTTCGTTTGTGTTTTTTTCTTTGGGTTTGTGTTTGTATTTGTGTTTGTGATTGGTTTTGCGTTTGGATTTGGATTGTTTTCGTTTGCTTTTTCGTTTGTTTGTTTTCTTTGTGTTCGTATTGGTGTTTGTGGTTGTGGTTGGGTTTGTTGTTAGGTTTTTGTTTTCGTTTGTATTTGTAATTGTGTTAGCGTTATGTTTGCGTTTTGTTGTTTTGGTTGGTTGTGGTTTGGGTGGGCAATGCCGGGTTTATGATGATTACTAAACACACAGGTGATGGTCTTTAACAGAAAGGTTTTTCACCGAAGCCAGAGCAGGGCCTGGCCGGGACGGCTAGTTTCATTCTATTTTCTTTAGTCAAATCAACGCTAGTTATTGTAAGGCGGTAGGCCTACTTAATTCTTACCGTTTTTATAATTTATCCTGCGAGTAACAAGGTGACAACATACAACAGATAACATGGATCATTTCTAGTTTCTAGTTAGATTTTTGCTTTTGAATATAAATATATATATATATATATATATATATATATATATATATATATATATATATATATATATATATATATATACATACATATATATATATATATATGTGTGTGTGTGTGTGTGTGTGTGTGTGTGTGTGTGTGTGTGTGTGTGTTTGTGTGCGTGTGTATGTGTATGTGTATGTGTGTGTGTCTTTTTTAATCAGTTTTACTGACGATTTTAAAGTGTTTAATTATAAAAATTCACAAGGCATGTGTACTTAATTAAACTAATTATCACAACCAGTCCGGGCCTAGGTTCCCATCCCTCTCCACCAGTACCGACCCCAGCCCCTACCGTTCCCCGCGAACAGCACCACGCTGTAAACTGTGTGATATTTAATTAACCCCCTAGTTCCCACCAAGACGGACGGGGGTTAACCCTCCACCGGCGTTATTAGAATACCTCAGTCCTCAACACCTCCATTGAGGGGAGATAACGGTGGGGTCAGGCCACTCTGAGCTAGCAGACGATCGCTGCCATAAATTACACGTTTACTTGGGCGTTTGAAACTAATTTACGATCAATCTATTAAAGGTCACGGAAGTTCACTTCAGGAGATTCTGGCTGTCGTCTGGTAAATGATGCCACGTCAGCAGGCGTTGACCCGTGTAGGGGTCAGCTAAAGATGGTTCTAGACCCTGATGTAGAGAGCAAATTAGAAGAGATCATTAGGACCCCAGTTGTATTTCTCCGCTTTACTCTCTGAGCCAGTTATTGACTATGATTATAGCAACCATGCTCACCAAATACATACAGGCTAAAGATGTGTCTCGCGAATCCAATATATTAACTTTTGGGTTTATCAAGGCTCAATATTTTATATGTAAATATATAAAGATCGCAGAGTGAAGATTGGAACGGTCGTGGTTGAGTGGTAGAACACAAGACCACTTACAGTATAGCTCCAGTTCGGTTCTTAATTCTTGCCTACATGGTCAGTTAAGCTATCTTGGCATAGTGCTGATGAAACAATCTTTCCTATGTTAAGGTCAAGGGCGTTGGTCAACTCAATTTCCCATGGATACCTGACTTATAATTAACAACATAATTATAATCGCCGTAAATATTACATACACAAGAAAATACACTTCGGCTAATTTTTAGGGTCTTATATTTTGATTTTTTTTAAAATCTTAATTCTGATATTAATCGTATGCTCTACTAATTTTTCTCAAACTCAAAATATTAAAACTCAGTTTGTTTGATTAAAGGTTTTTGTATCCAAGAAGAATAATCGAGATTATTCATTTAAAAAATATACTCTCATTATTACTTCCCTTTAAACAAATAAATTTTCCAACTTCACTGATCATCACTTCCTATGCATCAGGCTGCTACGAATTCAAGTTACTAATAATAAATTACTCACATACACATAGACAACACAGTGACGACAATGATTCAATAAAAACTCCTTAGACTTATACACTTGGAATATTTATTAGCTAATAGTTTTACTACTTAGTTCTATTTTTATGCATATTTGATTTTTTTTCGTTTATTTACTTTTTCCATCTATTGTCAAACATTGGTACATTGCTGGAGAATGGTAGCTAGTAGACACGTTGTAGACATGATCAGACTAGGCTAGCAACAGGGGTGGGATGGGGAGGGGAGGTGGCATGGCTGGTATCAGATAGGGTGGGATAAATGGGTGGGGGTGTATAACAGTTATGATAATTGTTTGTAGTTGAAGGGGGAGGGTGGCTAATAATGCAGGTTTTTGCTGTTCTAGGGGGAATGGACTGACAATAACGTTTTCTTATAGTTGAATGGGTAGCTTCTATCTGAGGTCATGGCTGGCTTATTGCTGAATGGGTAGCTTCTATCTGAGGTCATGGCTGGCTTATTGCTGAATGGGTAGCTTCTATCTGAGGTCATGGCTGGCTTATTGCTGAATGGGTAGCTTCTATCTGAGGTCATGGCTGGCTTATTGCTGAATGTGTAGTTCTAGCTGAGGTCACTGCTGGCTGGCTTATTGAATGTGTAGTTCTAGCTGAGGTCATGGCTGGCTTATAGCTGAATGTGTAGTTCTAGCTGAGGTCATGGCTGGCTTATTGTTGAATGTGTAGTTCTAGCTGAGGTCATAGCTGGCTTATTGTTGAATGTGTAGTTCTAGCTGAGGTCATTGCTGAATGGGTAGTTCTAGCTGAGGTCATGGCTGGCTTATTGCTGAATGTGTAGTTCTAGCTGAGGTCACTGCTGGCTGGCTTATTGAATGTGTAGTTCTAGCTGAGGTCACTGCTGGCTTATTGCTGAATGGGTAGTTCTAGCTGAGGTCATGGCTGGCTTATTGCTGAATGTGTAGTTCTAGCTGAGGTCATTGCTGAATGTGTAGTTCTAGCTGAGGTCACTGCTGGCTGGCCTCTACCGTCATGATGCCGGCTGACTCGTACAACTTGACCAGCTCCGCCTGGTGCTCCTCAAAGACCTCCTTCATGTTCTCCTCGGAGATCATCAGATCAATGGCCATCATGGCCAGAGCCTTGCCCTGGACGATGCTCATAAACTCACATTCTTTGGACCCTGTGGGCACAGCATGGGGGGGTGTACTCGTGAGATAATGTACGCATACAAAACTGTTTTAGACATATTATTGTGAGACCACAAAACTAGATACAGTTACAGACATGTAACTAGATAAAAACAACTGAGAAAAATCGTCTGAAAACTTTCAAAATTTAAGTGAAAAGGACAAGGCCTACATTATCTGAATAATGTATAAAATGATGTTTTGCGACATTGGTCTGTATAATCAATATATAAATCATGCATATAAGAACGAATGACTGTTGTATATTCAATGTCGACAAAAATATTATATTCAGTGAAGTAACGATTCTATTAATCTCGCGATTTTGCATATCTGTTGAACTCACCTGCATACCTGCACAACTCACCTGCATACCTGCACAACTCACCTGCACACCTGCACAACTCACCTGCACACCTGCATAACTCACCTGCACAACTCACCTGCATACCTGCACAACTCAGCTGTATACCTGCACAACTCACCTGCACAACTCATCTGCATACCTGCACAACTCACCTGCACACCTGCATAACTCACCTGCACAACTCACCTGCATACCTGCACAACTCAGCTGCATACCTGCACAACTCCCCTGCACAACTCATCTGCATACCTGCACAACTCACCTGCACACCTGCATAACTCACCTGCACGACTCACCTGCATACCTACACAACTCACCTGCACAACACACCTGCATACCTGCACAACTCACCTACAAACCTGCACATCTTACCTGCATACCTGCACAACTCACCTGCACGCCAGCATAACTCACCTGCACAACTCACCTGCATACCTGCATAACTCAAATGCACACCTGCATAACTCACCTGCACGACTCACCTGCATACCTGCACAACTCACCTACAAACCTGCACAACTCACCTGCATACCTGCACAACTCACCTACAAACCTGTACAACTCACCTGCATACCTGCACAACTCACCTACAAACCTGCACAACTCACCTGCATACCTGCACAACTCACCTACAAACCTGCACAACTCACCTACAAACCTGCACAACTCACCTACAAACCTGCACAACTCACCTGAATACCTGCACAACTCACCTGCATACCTGCACAACTCATCTACAAACCTGCACAACTCACCTGCATACCTGCACAACTCACCTACAAACCTGCACAACTCACCTACAAACCTGCACAACTCACCTGCATACCTGCACAACTCGCCTGCATACCTGCACAACTCACCTGCATACCTGCAACACTCACCTGCATACCTGCACAACTCACCTGCATACATGCACAGCTCACCTGCATACCTGCACAACTCACCTGCATACCTGCAACACTCACCTGCATACCTGCACAACTCACCTGCATACCTGCAACACTCACCTGCATACCTGCACAACTCACCTGCATACCTGCAACACTCACCTGCATACCTGCACAACTCACCTGCATACATGCACAGCTCACCTGCATACCTGCACAACTCACCTGCATACCTGCACAACTCACCTGCACAACTCACCTACAAACCTGCACAACTCACCTGCATACCTGCACAACTCACCTGCATACCTGAACAACTCACCTGCATACCTGCACAACTCACCTGCATACCTGCACAACTCACCTGCATATCTGCACAACTCACCTGCATACCTGCACAACTCACCTGCATATTTGCACAACTCACCTGCATACCTGCACAACTCACCTACAAACCTGCACAACTCACCTGCATACCTGCAGAACTCGCCTGCATACCTGCACAACTCACCTGCATACCTGCACAACTCACCTTCATACATGCAACACTCACCTGCATACCTGCACAACTCACCTGCATACCTGCAACACTCACCTGCATACCTGCACAACTCACCTGCATACCTGCAACACTCACCTGCATACCTGCACAACTCACCTGCATACCTGCAACACTCACCTGCATACCTGCACAACTCACCTGCATACATGCACAGCTCACCTGCATACCTGCACAACTCACCTGCATACCTGCACAACTCACCTGCACAACTCACCTGCACAACTCACCTGCATACCTGCACAACTCACCTGCACAACTCACCTGCACAACTCACCTGCACAACTCACCTACAAACCTGCACAACTCACCTGCATACCTGCACAACTCACCTGAATACCTGAACAACTCACCTGCATACCTGCACAACTCATCTGCATACCTGCACAACTCACCTGCATACCTGCACAACTCACCTGCATACTTGCACAAATCACCTGCATATCTGCACAACTCACCTGCATACCTGCACAACTCACCTGCATATCTGCACAACTCACCTGCATACCTGCACAACTCACCTGCATACCTGCTGAACTCATCAGTACCAATCTCCACGGATGTACCAGCGTAGTAGAACACCTTCAGTGTTGGTATCGACGTGCTCACGTTGGCGATATCATCTGGACTCTGGGGGGGGGGGGGGGGGGAGAGAAAGACGGACACAAAAGTCTGAAGTCACTTGAGCACATTGATTGAACTATTTAAATATTGACCCAGTGCATTGTGCTGGCTGCCTACAAAATCTTTTCTATTTACAGAACTAACTGGGTTTGCAAACAAGACAATAGGCGAAATCAAGTTAGTCTCCCAAACTTTTATGGTACAAAACAAACTTGGCATGAAAGCCATGAAAAGCCCATGCCTACCTCTATGGCTTTCCTCTTGTTGTGGAACGTGAAGCCCATGAGGGCGGCGTTGTGTTTGTAAAGTTCCACCAGTCGGTTGCACGTGACGTTACACAGGAACTCTTTCACTGTCACCTCGGTCTCAAACTGGGGACAATTTTAACCTTTAGCCTAACCGTTTCGAATTGGGGACAATTTTAACCTTTAGCCTAACCGTTTGAAACTGGGGACAATTTTAACCTTTAGCCTAACCGTTTCGAATTGGGGACAATTTTAACCTTAAGCCTAACCGTTTCAAACTGGGGACAATTTTAACCTTTAGCCTAACCTAACCGTTTCGAATTGGGGACAATTTTAACCTATAGCCTAACCGTTTCAAACTGTGGACAATTTTAACCTTTAGCCTAACCGTTTCAAACTGGGGACAATTTTAACCTTTAGCCTAACCTAACCGTTTCGAATTGGAGACAATTTTAACCTATAGCCTAACCGTTTCAAACTGTGGACAATTTTAACCTTTAGCCTAACCGTTTCAAACTGGGGACAATTTTAACCTTTAGCCTAACCTAACCGTTTCGAATTGGGGACAATTTTAACCTATAGCCTAACCGTTTCAAACTGGGGACAATTTTAACCTTTAGCCTAACCGTTTTAAACTTAACGTTTCTAACTAAAATGCATTTCAAATTTTAGCCCCAGTTTTTTAATTCAGTGGAAGTTCATTTGAACTCAAACCTAAGAGTTCAAAATGTGAACTAACGACACCTATCTAGGCCTGGACACGTGTGTCTTCTCTAACCCTGCCCTCATCACTGCCTCAGCTACAACAGGTTGCTGTGTGACTACGTGAGGGTCTGGACTGATGACGTCACTGTGAGTACCCACCCGACAGCCGCTGGCAATGGCAGCCGCCTCAAAACATCGCTGTATCATCTCCCCCACTATCTTCATCTCTATAGGTTTGGGCGCCTTCGTCATGAACTCCATACAGGCGTACTCTGGCATTACATCGGCTCTGGTACCACCGTCAGAGATCACACCTGGGGGTATGTAAGGTAAGCGATTACACCTGGGGTATGTAAGGTAAGTAATTACACCTAGGGGTATGTAAGGTAAGCAATTACACCTGGGGGTATGTAAGGTAGGCAATTACACCTTTGTTGATGTAAGGTAAACAATTACACCTGGGGGTATGTAAGGTTAGTAATTACAAATGGGGGTATGTAAGGTAGGCAATTACACCTTTGTTGATGTAAGGTAAACAATTACACCTGGGGGTATGTAAGGTAAGCAATTACACCTGGGGGTATGCAAGGTAGGCAATTACACCTGGGGGTATGTAAGGTAGGCAATTACACCTGGGGGTATGTAAGGTAGGCAACTACACCTTTGTTGATGTAAGGTAAGCAATTACACCTGGGGGTATGCAAGGTAGGCAATTACACCTGGGGGTATGTAAGGTAGGCAATTACACCTGGGGGTATGTAAGGTAGGCAATTACACCTTTGTTGATGTAAGGTAAACAATTACACCTGGGGGTATGTAAGGTAGGCAATTACACCTGGGGGTATGTAAGGTAGGCAATTACACATGGGGGTATGTAAGGTAGGCAATTACACCTGGGGGTATGTAAGGCAGGCAATTACACCTTTGTTGATGTAAGGTAAACAATTACACCTGGGGGTATGTAAGGCAGGCAATTACACCTTTGTTGATGTAAGGTAAACAATTACACCTGGGGGTATGTAAGGTAGGCAATTACACCTGGGGTATGTAAGGTAGGCAATTACACATGGGGGTATGTAAGGTAAGCGATTACACCTGGGTGTATGTAAGGTTAACAATTAAACCTGGGGGTATGTAAGGTAAACATTTACACCTGGGTTTATTTAAAGTAACCAGGGTGTAATTAGGGTGACAAATTACACCTGGGTATACGTTAAGGAAACAATTACACCTGATAGTATGCAAGTTGACCAGTTACACCTTGGTAATATGGAAGTCAGATATTGCTACTTCTAGCCAAAGGACCATGAAGCAGTATATCTTCTACTGCTACTGGTCAATGACCCCCCCCCCTCCCCACACTGACCTTTGACTATCCAGTCGTCCTTGAACTGTTGTCGTATGGCCGCCACGTTTTGATAAGCCAGCACTGCCGCATTGACGGGGTTTGCCACCTCCCATGGGCGGTCACCCTCTGCACGACTCCGCCCACGGAATACAACTTTTTTCCTGGGGTGGGAGACAAACCAGGGTGTCAGTAGGGGGGGAGTAGGTAGTTGCTAGCTCTTACATGTGTGATGTTACATGGGTAGACGGGCTACTTACATCTGTGTAATGACTGGGGTAGGCGAGCTACTTACATCTGTGTAATGACTGGAGTAGGCGGGCTACTTACATCTGTGTAATGACTGGGGTAGGAGGATTACTTACATATGTGTAATGACTGGGGTAGGCGGGCTACTTACATCTGTGTAATGACTGGGGTAGGAGGGCTACTAACATCTGTGTAATGACTGGGGTAGGCGGGCTACTTACATCTGTGTAATGACTGGGGTAGGAGGGCTACTAACATCTGTGTAATGACTGGGGTAGTCGGGCTACTTACATCTGAGCACCGATAAAGTGAGGCTTGACGTTGGTGTAATGACTGGGGTAGGCAGACAGCAGGAAGTCTATCCCTTTAAAACAGCCCTCATCAAACATGGCGATCTTCCCAGTGTTGTCTGGGTGGCCCGGACAGCCAATCACTGTCACCTAAGGGGGGGGGGGGTGTGATGGGGGGGTGAGGGGATAGGTGGTTTTTTAGCACATGTGATAAGCTTACCAAGGTTACAAAATGATACTTAAAATTAAATAACATAAAAATAAGGTTTTGAAACATACTTCAACTTGTTTAATAAAATTGCTTATTAAAGTGTGATGTTTTAACCTCTTGTCAGAATGCTTAAGCTTTTGCATTTAGCTTCACATGGATTATGCTAAAAAATGTTTACACAACTTTTGTGGAGGGGTAGGTAGTGGGGAAAGCCGGACGTTTTCCCCAAACACACTTGCCCGAATGCCGTTTGCCCAAAGGGGGGGGGGGGGGGTAATGTGAGGGTAGGGGTGAGCTACTGGTCTATTAAAAAATGCAGTGTTTATTTTCAATGGGTGTTGATTATCACTTTCGTGTGGAGAGGATAGGGACAGGTTGTTTAGTCTGATTATGATTTTTTTGGCTATCGACAGGGGTGTGCTATTTCAGTTCGATCTTTGTAAAGAGTAATGACAGTACCATCCCTACAAAATGACAGTACCATCCCTACAAAATGACAGTACTATCTCTAATAAAATGACAGTACCATCCCTACAAAATGACAGTACCATCCCTATAAATAACAGTACCATCCCTACAAAATGACAGTACCATCCCTACAAAATAACACTACCATCCCTACAAAATTACACTACCGTCCCTACAAAATGACACTACCATCCCTACAAAACGACAGTACCATCCCTACAAAATGACAGTACCGTCCCTACAAAATGACAGTACCATCCCTACAAAATGACAGTACCATCCCTACAAAATGACAGTACCATCCCTACAAAATGACAGTACCATCCCTACAAAATGACAGTACCATCCCTACAAAATGACAGTACCATCCCTACAAAGTACCATCCCTACAAAATGACAGTACCATCCCTACAAAATGGCAGTACCATCCCTACAAAATGGCAGTACCATCCCTACAAAACGAGAGTACCATCCCTACAAAATGACAGCACAATCCCTACAAAGTACCATCCCTACAAAATGACAGTACCATCGCTACAAAATGACAGTACCATCCCTACAAAATGACAGTACCATCCCTACAAAATGACAGTACCATCCCTACAAAATGAAAGTACCATCCCTACAAAATGACAGTACCATCCCTACAAAATGACAGTACCATCCCTACAAAATGACAGTACCATCCCTACAAAATGACAGTACCATCCCTACAAAATGACAGTACCATCCCTACAAAATGACAGTACCATCCCTACAAAATGACAGTACCATCCCTACAAAATGAAAGTACCATCCCTACAAAATGACAGTACCATCCCTACAAAATGACAGTACCATCCCTACAAAATGACAGTACCATCCCTACAAAATGACAGTACCATCCCTACAAAATGACAGTACCATCCCTACAAAGTACCATCCCTACAAAATGACAGTACCATCCCTACAAAATGACAGTACCATCCCTACAAAATGACAGTACCATCCCTACAAAATGACAGTACCATCCCTACAAAATGACAGTACCATCCCTACAAAATGACAGTACCATCCCTACAAAATGACAGTACCATCCCTACAAAATGACAGTACCATCCCTACAAAATGGCAGTACCATCCCTACAAAATGGCAGTACCATCCCTACAAAATGGCAGTACCATCCCTACAAATCGACAGTACCATCCCTACAAAATGACAGTACCATCCCTACAAAGTACCATCCCTACAAAATGACAGTACCATCGCTACAAAATGACAGTACCATCCCTACAAAATGACAGTACCATCCCTACAAAATGACAGTACCATCCCTACAAAATGACAGTACCATCCCTACAAAGTACCATCCCTACAAAATGGCAGTACCATCCCTACAAAATGACAGTACCATCCCTACAAAATGACAGTACCATCCCTACAAAATGACAGTACCATCCCTATAAAATGACAGTACCATCCCTACAAAATGACAGTACCATCCCTACAAAATGACAGTACCATCCCTACAAAATGACAGTACCATCCCTACAAAATGACAGTACCATCCCTACAAAATGACAGTACCATCCCTACAAAGTACCATCCCTACAAAATGACAGTACCATCCCTACAAAATGACAGTACCATCCCTACAAAATGACAGTACCATCCCTACAAAATGACAGTACCATCCCTACAAAATGACAGTACCATCCCTACAAAATGACAGTACCATCTCTACAAAATGACAGTACCATCCCTACAAAGTACCATCCCTACAAAATGACAATACCATCCCTACAAAATGACAGTACCATCCCTACAAAATGACAGTACCATCCCTACAAAATGACAGTACCATCCCTATAAAATGACAGTACCATCCCTACAAAATGACAGTACCATCCCTACAAAATGACAGTACCATCCCTACAAAATGACAGTACCATCCTTACAAAATGACAGTACCATCCCTACAAAATGACAGTACCATCCCTACAAAATGACAGTACCATCCCTACAAAATGACAGTACCATCCCTACAAAATGACAGTACCATCCCTACAAAATGACAGTACCATCCCTACAAAGTACCATCCCTACAAAATGACAGTACCATCCCTACAAAATGACAGTACCATCCCTACAAAATGACAGTACCATCCCTACAAAATGACAGTACCATCCCTACAAAATGACAGTACCATCCCTACAAAATGACAGTACCATCCCTACAAAATGACAGTACCATCCCTACAAAATGACAGTACCATCCCTACAAAATGGCAGTACCATCCCTACAAAATGGCAGTACCATCCCTACAAAATGGCAGTACCATCCCTACAAATCGACAGTACCATCCCTACAAAATGACAGTACCATCCCTACAAAGTACCATCCCTACAAAATGACAGTACCATCGCTACAAAATGACAGTACCATCCCTACAAAATGACAGTACCATCCCTACAAAATGACAGTACCATCCCTACAAAATGACAGTACCATCCCTACAAAGTACCATCCCTACAAAATGGCAGTACCATCCCTACAAAATGACAGTACCATCCCTACAAAATGACAGTACCATCCCTACAAAATGACAGTACCATCCCTACAAAATGACAGTACCATCCCTATAAAATGACAGTACCATCCCTATAAAATGACAGTACCATCCCTACAAAATGACAGTACCATCCCTACAAAATGACAGTACCATCCCTACAAAATGACAGTACCATCCCTACAAAATGACAGTACCATCCCTACAAAGTACCATCCCTACAAAATGACAGTACCATCCCTACAAAATGACAGTACCATCCCTACAAAATGACAGTACCATCCCTACAAAATGACAGTACCATCCCTACAAAATGACAGTACCATCCCTACAAAATGACAGTACCATCCCATAAAAAATGACAGTACCATCCCTACAAAATGACAGTACCATCCCTACAAAATGAAAGTACCATCCCTACAAAATGACAGTACCATCCCATAAAAAATGACAGTACCATCCCTACAAAGTACCATCCCTACAAAATGACAGTACCATCCCTACAAAATGACAGTACCATCCCTACAAAGTACCATCCCTACAAAATGACAGTACCATCCCTACAAAATGACAGTACCATCCTTACAAAATGACAGTACCATCCCTACAAAATGAGAGTACCATCCCTACAAAATGACAGTACCATCCCTACAAAATGACAGTACCATCCCTACAAAATGACAGTACCATCCCTACAAAATGACAGTACCATCCCATAAAAAATGACAGTACCATCCCTACAAAATGACAGTACCATCCCTACAAAATGAAAGTACCATCCCTACAAAATGACAGTACCATCCCTACAAAATGAGAGTACCATCCCTACAAAATGACAGTACCATCCCTACAAAATGACAGTACCATCCCTACAAAATGACAGTACCATCCCTACAAAATGACAGTACCATCCCTACAAAGTACCATCCCTACAAAATGACAATACCATCCCTACAAAATGACAGTACCATCCCTACAAAATGACAGTACCATCCCTACAAAATGACAGTACCATCCCTATAAAATGACAGTACCATCCCTACAAAATGACAGTACCATCCCTACAAAATGACAGTACCATCCCTACAAAATGACAGTACCATCCTTACAAAATGACAGTACCATCCCTACAAAATGACAGTACCATCCCTACAAAATGACAGTACCATCCCTACAAAATGACAGTACCATCCCTACAAAATGACAGTACCATCCCTACAAAATGACAGTACCATCCCTACAAAGTACCATCCCTACAAAATGACAGTACCATCCCTACAAAATGACAGTACCATCCCTACAAAATGACAGTACCATCCCTACAAAATGACAGTACCATCCCTACAAAATGACAGTACCATCCCTACAAAATGACAGTACCATCCCTACAAAATGACAGTACCATCCCTACAAAATGACAGTACCATCCCTACAAAATGGCAGTACCATCCCTACAAAATGGCAGTACCATCCCTACAAAATGGCAGTACCATCCCTACAAATCGACAGTACCATCCCTACAAAATGACAGTACCATCCCTACAAAGTACCATCCCTACAAAATGACAGTACCATCGCTACAAAATGACAGTACCATCCCTACAAAATGACAGTACCATCCCTACAAAATGACAGTACCATCCCTACAAAATGACAGTACCATCCCTACAAAGTACCATCCCTACAAAATGGCAGTACCATCCCTACAAAATGACAGTACCATCCCTACAAAATGACAGTACCATCCCTACAAAATGACAGTACCATCCCTATAAAATGACAGTACCATCCCTACAAAATGACAGTACCATCCCTACAAAATGACAGTACCATCCCTACAAAATGACAGTACCATCCCTACAAAATGACAGTACCATCCCTACAAAATGACAGTACCATCCCTACAAAATGGCAGTACCATCCCTACAAAATGGCAGTACCATCCCTACAAAATGGCAGTACCATCCCTACAAATCGACAGTACCATCCCTACAAAATGACAGTACCATCCCTACAAAGTACCATCCCTACAAAATGGCAGTACCATCCCTACAAAATGACAGTACCATCCCTACAAAATGACAGTACCATCCCTACAAAATGACAGTACCATCCCTATAAAATGACAGTACCATCCCTATAAAATGACAGTACCATCCCTACAAAATGACAGTACCATCCCTACAAAATGACAGTACCATCCCTACAAAATGACAGTACCATCCCTACAAAATGACAGTACCATCCCTACAAAGTACCATCCCTACAAAATGACAGTACCATCCCTACAAAATGACAGTACCATCCCTACAAAATGACAGTACCATCCCTACAAAATGACAGTACCATCCCTACAAAATGACAGTACCATCCCTACAAAATGACAGTACCATCCCTACAAAATGACAGTACCATCCCATAAAAAATGACAGTACCATCCCTACAAAATGACAGTACCATCCCTACAAAATGAAAGTACCATCCCTACAAAATGACAGTACCATCCCATAAAAAATGACAGTACCATCCCTACAAAGTACCATCCCTACAAAATGACAGTACTATCCCTACAAAATGACAGTACCATCCCTACAAAGTACCATCCCTACAAAATGACAGTACCATCCCTACAAAATGACAGTACCATCCTTACAAAATGACAGTACCATCCCTACAAAATGAGAGTACCATCCCTACAAAATGACAGTACCATCCCTACAAAATGACAGTACCATCCCTACAAAATGACAGTACCATCCCTACAAAATGACAGTACCATCCCATAAAAAATGACAGTACCATCCCTACAAAATGACAGTACCATCCCTACAAAATGAAAGTACCATCCCTACAAAATGACAGTACCATCCCTACAAAATGACAGTACCATCCCTACAAAATGACAGTACCATCCCTACAAAATGACAGTACCATCCCTACAAAATGACAGTACCATCCCTACAAAGTACCATCCCTACAAAATGACAATACCATCCCTACAAAATGACAGTACCATCCCTACAAAATGACAGTACCATCCCTACAAAATGACAGTACCATCCCTATAAAATGACAGTACCATCCCTACAAAATGACAGTACCATCCCTACAAAATGACAGTACCATCCCTACAAAATGACAGTACCATCCTTACAAAATGACAGTACCATCCCTACAAAATGACAGTACCATCCCTACAAAATGACAGTACCATCCCTACAAAATGACAGTACCATCCCTACAAAATGACAGTACCATCCCTACAAAATGACAGTACCATCCCTACAAAGTACCATCCCTACAAAATGACAGTACCATCCCTACAAAATGACAGTACCATCCCTACAAAATGACAGTACCATCCCTACAAAATGACAGTACCATCCCTACAAAATGACAGTACCATCCCTACAAAATGACAGTACCATCCCTACAAAATGACAGTACCATCCCTACAAAATGACAGTACCATCCCTACAAAATGGCAGTACCATCCCTACAAAATGGCAGTACCATCCCTACAAAATGGCAGTACCATCCCTACAAATCGACAGTACCATCCCTACAAAATGACAGTACCATCCCTACAAAGTACCATCCCTACAAAATGACAGTACCATCGCTACAAAATGACAGTACCATCCCTACAAAATGACAGTACCATCCCTACAAAATGACAGTACCATCCCTACAAAATGACAGTACCATCCCTACAAAGTACCATCCCTACAAAATGGCAGTACCATCCCTACAAAATGACAGTACCATCCCTACAAAATGACAGTACCATCCCTACAAAATGACAGTACCATCCCTATAAAATGACAGTACCATCCCTACAAAATGACAGTACCATCCCTACAAAATGACAGTACCATCCCTACAAAATGACAGTACCATCCCTACAAAATGACAGTACCATCCCTACAAAATGACAGTACCATCCCTACAAAATGACAGTACCATCCCTACAAAGTACCATCCCTACAAAATGACAGTACCATCCCTACAAAATGACAGTACCATCCCTACAAAATGACAGTACCATCCCTACAAAATGACAGTACCATCCCTACAAAATGACAGTACCATCCCTACAAAATGACAGTACCATCCCTACAAAATGACAGTACCATCCCATAAAAAATGACAGTACCATCCCTACAAAATGACAGTACCATCCCTACAAAATGAAAGTACCATCCCTACAAAATGACAGTACCATCCCATAAAAAATGACAGTACCATCCCTACAAAGTACCATCCCTACAAAATGACAGTACCATCCCTACAAAATGACAGTACCATCCCTACAAAGTACCATCCCTACAAAATGACAGTACCATCCCTACAAAATGACAGTACCATCCTTACAAAATGACAGTACCATCCCTACAAAATGAGAGTACCATCCCTACAAAATGACAGTACCATCCCTACAAAATGACAGTACCATCCCTACAAAATGACAGTACCATCCCTACAAAATGACAGTACCATCCCATAAAAAATGACAGTACCATCCCTACAAAATGACAGTACCATCCCTACAAAGTACTATCCCTACAAAATGACAGTACCATCCCTACAAAATGACAGTACCATCCCTATCGGTTCCGTGGCGAACTTGATGACAGTCTGGAGTCCAAGAGCGGCGGTCAGTGCTACCACTGTGACCAGGTTGTGACCTCGAGAGTGACCCGTGGCCTCGTCAGCATCGTACTGGCACAGGAAGCCAATGTTGGGGTGCTCTACTCCACCTACTTCACCCTCCCCAAACTCGGCTCTGGGATAGAAACAGGAGAAGGTTGGAAACTTTCGCGTCAAACTGGAATGTATTACATCACAGCAGTGTGTAGGGTGTGTATCATGTGTCAAACAAAATTTTATAATTCATAGCACATTGTCATGTACCAAACGTGTACCACATCAAACTATCATTTTTAACATCAGAATACCATGTATCCCATCTTCTATCAAACGTAAATGCATTACATATAAAACTAGCATGTTCAACATAAGACAATCAGATTTCACAAACTTCAGTATTCATCAAGGATTAAAATAGAAAAATCACGTGACCATCCCCTGCAGCTATAAACACAATCACACAACACCTGACCATCCACTGCAGCTATAAACACAATCATACAAGATCCTGCATACCTGACCATCCATCTCAGCTACAAACACAATCATGCAAGATCCTGCACTCGTGACCACCTCACCTGAAGGCCGACTTGAACCCTTTGTATTTCTCAATGACCTTGAACCCTTTCCTCTTTAGGAACCGGACGATACGATCGTGACACTTGAATTCTTTTCCTGGCTTTTCCCGCTGTCGCCAGATGTCTTTTCCTGCAATCAACAAAAGCCATCGTTACATTATCGTTACATTATCGTTACATTATCGTTACATTATCGTTACATTCATACAGCCCAATGTTTTACTATTCTACTGTCTACCCCTTGCCTAAAACATAGGATGGAAGACTCCAGGACCACATTTTTCAAATACCAAATAAAAATAATATCAAATAAAAAGAATATCAAATGAAAAGTATCTGCTAGCCCGAAAGTCTCGAGTTGGGGTCCCGGCCCAAAAGACGATGACGATAAATTAAAAAGAGTGCCAAAGAGAAAGTGCACCAAATAGAAAGTGTACCAACTAGAAAGTTTACCAACTACAAAGTGTACCAACTAGAAGGTGTACCAAATAGAAAGTGACAATAGTGTACCAAATAGAAAGTGTACCAAATTGAAAGTGTACCAACTAGAAAGTGTACCAAAGTGTACCAAATAGAAAGCGTATCAACCACCGAGTGTACCAAATAGAAAGTGTACCAAACAGAATGTGTACCAACTAGAAAAAAGTACCAAATAGAGAGTGTACCAACTAGAAAATGTACCAACTAGAAAGTGTACCAGTACCAACTAGAAAGTGTACCAACTAGAAAGTGTACCAACTAGAAAGTGTACCAACTAGAAAGTGTACCAACTAGAAAGTGTACCAACTAGAAAGTGTACCAACTAGAAAGTGTACCAACTAGAAAGTGTACCAAAGTGTACCAACTAGAAAGTGTACCAACTAGAAAGTGTACCAACTAGAAAGTGTACCAACTAGAAAGTGTACCAACTAGAAAGTGTACCAAATAGAAAGTGTACCAAATAGAAAGTGTACCAAAGTGTACCAAATAGAAAGTGTACCAAATAGAAAGTGTACCAAATAGAAAGTGTACCAACTAGAAAGTGTACCAACTAGAAAGTGTACCAAATAGAAAGTGTACCAACTAGAAAGTGTACCAAAGTGTACCAACTAGAAAGTGTACCAACTAGAAAGTGTACCAACTAGAAAGTGTACCAAACAGAAAGTGTACCAAATAGAAAGTGTACGAAACAGAAAGTGTACCAATATTATTAAGCTCGTCCAACTGTTGTTCTATGGCCGTGAAAGCGATCTTCTTCTCCTCGGTTAAGATCGGCTCCTTTTCTTCAACCGGATTTTTCTTGGGCATGTTTCCTGTGATGCTGTGACGCTGCTCGGTAGTGCTGTGTCACCGCTGTCTGTCTGTGTGTCCTGTGGCTCGTCACAACCTAGCTGGTGGGGGTGGGGAAGAGGTGGTCAGATTTAGCAAGAATTTTTTTTATTTTTATTTTAACCTTTAATTTTGATTTAGTCTAGCATTCTGCAATGTACCGTGTTTTTTTTCACCAAACACCGCAGCAATGTCTTATGTTTGGAGTTAGGGTTGAAGCTACTCTAAGAACTAGTTAAATATTCTATTTCTTACATATCTATATATATAATTCTCCTCTTCGAGCCGTTAGAAAACAAGCTGCAAACGCTCTCCCTACCTCCCCACCCCTACATGGTTTTAGTGAGCTGTGTTCACTCTAAATGTTTACAAGCAGAGCCAACGATTTTAAACGTAGGGGGGGGGGGGGGGGGGGAAGGAAGGGGGGGGGGTTATGGTCCTTAACGAGCTACTTATAGTGTTTTAAAGAAATATATTTTCAGTGTCAGCGTTGGTACTGTCGAATTCACAAATTATGAATTATTGAAAATTAGAAACAACTAAATAGCGGCGTATGTTATGCCGCGGGCCGGCTCGTTGTAGGTATTTTTTTTCTTAGATATGGAATCGATATAATTCGATTCAAGATCGACAACCCTTGTTTTGATCTACCGAAATTTTTAAACCTGAGTTTACTCCCTTTGAACGAGCCGAGTCTACGTAGCTGTGAGACCACCAAAGAGAAAAAAAAAAAACCGAACGTCTAAACCTTAATGAACAGACGCAACAACGTACGACAGGTACTAACGCTTAATCCAGGGGGGGGGGGGCGGGTATAGTTGCGTGTCTGCTCATAGCCCTACCCTAGTCCTGACCTAGCCTGACTAAAACTCTCAAAGCCATTAACCCCCCCCCCCCCTTTCCCCTCCCAAAGAATGAGATCTACTTCAGGCCAACTAGCATCTATTTTTTTCTAGTACTCATCCTCTAAGTCAACCTTCTTTTAACCCAGACTAGCCCCTGATGCATTCTTCTAACCCTCTAATGGTAATAATAACTAGCCCATAAAGTAAAATTGAGGGAAGAAAATCTGTATTTGACTTATATTTCCTCACTCAAAAAAAAACTATAAAATATTTTTATTTTATACACTTACAAAATATACCTTGATTTTGCTATATTATCATAACTATGTAGATCTACATTAATTCATTACATTTTAGAGTATTTTAGAGTGATAAGTTGGAATCCTTATATAGGAATCAGTAAGGATTTATAAAGTAAACGAAAGCATTCGGTCAGCATAAAGTGTCCACTTTACAATATATATATTTATTTTTTTACCTAGTTACGGCTGCTTCACCCCAATAGTAAAAGTCTGGGGATATAAATCTAAGAGAAATTATAGGCACGCTAATTATAGCCACCACGTATACTTGACTGTGGCGCTGGCTTCTTCCTAAAGAGTAAACATCAATTTTCCGGAAGTGACGTCAGCGAGAAGTGGGCATCACGGGGAACACAGTTTTTGATGACGTCACTCTCATCCATTGGTTTAGTCTAAAATATTATTTAATAATGCTTTTATATCGTTACTAGCATTAAATTAACACCGTGCTACTTCTTAGCAAGTGCTACATCTCAACAACTACTACATCTCACGAACTGCTACATCTCACAAACTACTACATCTTACTAACTGCTACATCCAGATTTTCTTCCAGGCATCTCTTCGGGGAGGGCCCCCCCCCCTACCCCGAAAAAATTCTACCTACGCCCCCCCCCCCCCCCCCCCCCGCCCCCGAACGAAATGAAATTTATATAATTTATATACAAAATATATACTTTTAACAGTGTCCGCCCCCCCCCCCCCCGAAGAAAGTCTACCGCCCCCACCCCCCCCCCCCCCCCTCCGAAAATTTCAAGTGTTCCCGGAGAAAAAAGTCTGGAAGAAACATTGGCTACATCTCACCAACTACTACATCTTACTAACTGCTACATCTCACCAGCTACTACATCTCACCAACTGCTACAAATCGCACCAACTACTACATCAACTACTACAAATCTCACCAACTACTACATCTCATCAACTACTTTAATGCTTGTCAGAACTAGCAACCAGATTACTTTCAAGCATGAACTAGTTTTTTTTTAACAAAATATATCCTAATTGTAGGTTGATAAAAACAGAAACACCAGACTTTGAAATATTTTTAATGCCTGAAAATATAATAGACAAAACCTTCGGAAAACATCTCAGTAGCCCAGTTAGGTGTGTCAGTCATCCTTTAGTCATTCTCATGTCATCTTCATGTCATCTTCATGTCATCCTTTAGTCATCCTCTAGTCATCCTCATGCAGTGGCGGAACTAGAAAAAATGGGCCACCCCGCAAAAAAAATTTTTTGGGCCCCACACACACACATATATATATATATATATATATATATATATATATATATATATATATATATATATATATATATATATATATATATATATATATATAGACGAAAATATGATACATAGAATACTCATTTCGGGTTTGTTCGAGTTTTTAAAAAATAATTAAAAATACTTAGTTTTTATTAAAATGTAAAAACAAGTTACACCACTTCATTGGAGTGACTGCTATTTGATCTAGATTCTAGTCTTTTCAGAAAATCTCCGTTTAAATATGTTTGCTATAATGCCTTCCATTATTACGTCAGTCGAAATAATATGAAGCATGAAAGCTGTGTATGTATAATGGTTTCTCGCCCTATGTTTATTTTTATGTTTTTTTTTGTATTTATATTATTAGTTTTAAATACATTTCTGTTTTATGCTTGTCATTCTTTATTATGTATTTTTAGCGCAATTTCCATTCTGGAGAATTGCGTTTATTAACCCGTCATTTCTGGATGGATGGATGGATGGATGGATGAATGTGTGTCCGCAGCTTTAAGTCGTATCTCCTCCTCAACGAAGCAATATCGATGACTAGTTCCAAAAGCAATTATGTTAAGCAAGTTACGAGGATGAACATAGGCCATAAAAATTCCGGGTTTCTTTCATGGATTTCCCAGAAAAGCCAAAAAATCTCGGAAAAAAGCAGTTTTTGGCCCATATCTCGGCAACCAGACCACTTAGCGACTTGAAACATGTACCAATCGATTCCTGTCATAATTTAGAACAATATTGCCGAAGAAAGTTTTCAAAAATATTCTCTCGTTCGGTCACAAATTTTAAAATTACATAAACACCTACAAACCGATTGTTCTTCTAGCTTGAACGCACCCCAACATTATACGTCAGAGCTATTTTTAGATAACATAAGGAAATTGCGCACAAATGTCACTAGACTTTTTTAATTAACTTGTTTAAAATTAAGAGAAGTAATTGCTTTTTTATTTGTTTAATGCAAATCTATTAAAATGTGCTTAAGAGCACATATATTTGACTATTTAAAAAAAGGGAAATAAGTCATGGAAGTGGTTTGAACGTTTGCGTATCTTTCACGCGATGGATTTATTTTCAAAAGAATTTTGCCGACAACAGCATGTTTGATTGTAGGAGAAAGAGGACTCGAGATGGTGTCTATAGAATAAAGATAATCAAACAGTAGCTGCAATATTCTTTTTACAAAACATCCATTAAGTCAAAAATGCAAGAAGATTATTTTTTTTAACTGTAAAAAAAATTGATTATGGTCGGCTGCGGGCCCCTAAACGTCCCGGGCCCCCCCGCAATGCGGGGTCTGGCGGCACTGTAGTTCCGCCCCTGTCCTCATGTCATCTTCATGTCATCCTTTAGTCATCTTCATGTCATCCTCTAGCCAAGCTGTGAGTGGGACAAATTTGACATTTCAAGATTCTAGACAAAATCATTATAAAAATAATAATCATTAAAAAAGTTTTAAAAAACCCACGTTTTCTGATTGAACTAAAAAGTAGAAAATAAATGCTATAGGCCCTACATCACAATAATGCAAGCGATCACTCTACTATAAGCGATGAAAAACGTGGGGCGCCGAAGTAAAAGTTATATTACTATTGATTAGATAATACTATTGACTTTTATTAGGGAGCTTGTAGAGAGTCAACAGTATTAGAAACTGTAAGAAAATCACGGCGCCCCACGTTTTTGATCGCTTATAGTAGAGTGATCGCTTGCATTATTGTGATGTAGGGCCTATAGCATTTATTTTCTACTTTTTAGTTCAATCAGAAAACGTGGGTTTTTTAAAACTTTTTTAATGATTATTATTTTCTACTTTTTAGTCTTTGTCTGTTTGTTTGCATTAAAATCTTGCTATCGATTTTATCTTTTCACTTTTTTTGGGTAAACGAAGACAACTCGTAAAAAGACAACTCGTAAAAAGACAACTCGTAAAAAGACAACTCGTAAAAAGACAACTCGTAAAAAGACAACTTGTAAAAAACACGTTGTGTGAATACGTTACTGACTAGAACACATAGATTTGAACCCGTGTCGAGTGGGATAGCAATCGTGTGCCCAACCACTCGACCATATCGTCTCCCCCAAACTGGCCTACCTCCTGTAAGTTTAAACTCGGTTCAAGCTAAATTCTCTGCCCCTAAGCCTGTGGCGACATGTGATCGTTCGCTTCACTGCGCGCGAGGTACGCGTCGCTGGTTTTTTTTCTAATGGCTAGCAGAGGAGAATTATATATATAGATTATATAGCGGTCTAAAATGCTCAATAAAATGTTTCCATTGATCAATTTAGTAATAATAACAATTGAATATTCAATGGTCATCCAAAAGAAAGCTTCCCTGAAAATTTCAGCGCGCTAGCTAACTGGGAAGTGCCAGAAATTTCGATCGCAAGATTTGATTGGAAAGACAAACAGAGAAAGCAAGTTAAAGAAAACGTGGGAACATAACTAACACAACGAGTTGATGAATAAGATCAAAAAATGTTACGCTTCACATCTTAGACGTAGTCAAATCTAAATGATGGACTTACCGCTTTCAGTTGTTCAACTGAAAACAAAATAAAAAATCTAAGTAAAATATAGTTTTATTAAGATAGAATATAAATGTATATAAGCGTATATATATATATATATATATATATATATATATATATATATATATATATATATATATATGTATATATATATATATATATATATATATATATATATATATATATATATATATATATATATATATATATATATATATTACTATATATTGATGTAATTATATTCTTTATTCATTCAAATGTCAAAATGAGCTTACTGCGGTCGGTATGATTTGAATTATCTAGTGGCAAGTCTGTGTTCTTCTGGGTAAGCATGCTTCTCAGAATGGAGACTGTCGATAGTTGCAACAGTACAGATTAATTATTTTAAAAGCAGGATATTTAGAACTGAAACAATTTCTTACACAATTCAAATGTAAAACAAATTACTTTCTACATTTTTGTCCAAAAAAAAACGTCCCTATTCTCTCTGAAACATTATGATTATTTTTAGTCTACATCAATTTATTGAGTAAAATCGTTCGATATGTGATTGAAATACCTAAATAGTCATCCACAACTCATATAAAAATGAAGAGGTTCGAGAAAGAATCATCAATACGATTTGTCCTTTTGAGAACTAGCTAGATATCGTCAAGTAATTCAGTTGTATGGTCATGTGACACGGTCATGTGATCTATCAAAGATAATCATGCAGGGCACGATGCCCAGAGGGAGAAGGTGACAGGGGCAGAGACGGCATTGGATGGAGGAATGGACTGGCAGAGTTTTTTCCAGGCATCTCTTCGGTGGGGAGGAGAAAGTCCACCACCCCCACCCGCCGGACGTAATGGAATTCATATAGAAAATATTTACTTTACCTATGTCCGCCCCCCCCCCTCCCTCCGGAAAATTTAGTCCGCCCCCCGTAAATATCAAGTGCGCCCCCCCCCCCCCCCCCCCCCTCCGGAGAAAAAAGTCTGAAAGAAACACTGTGGACTGGGCAGCCCGTGGCAGAATTACAAAAAGCATTAGAAAACATGAATGTAAATATCGAAAAGTCTGTGTTGATTATAAATTTGTTGTTAGAACTTACAGAAGGGGTTGGCCTTCTCGTCAGCACTCATCAATTTATACATAGTCTGTAGAGGGGATAGTGTAGGCGTGGCACCCCCAGTGGCAGTTCCCAGCCATGTCTGCAGTTGATCTAGGCCTGTTTGAAGACAGTTGTGTTTAAATATACAGGCAGATAATGGCGCTCTATACAATGTCTGCAGTAGATTTAGGCCTGTTTGAAGGCAATCGTGTTTAAATATACAAGTAGAAATTGGTGCTCTATACAATGTCTGCAGTAGATCTAGGCCTGTTTAAGAAAATTGTGTTGGAATATACGAGTAGATAATGGTGCTCTATTCAATGTTTGCAGTAGAGCTTATGTTTGAAGATAATCGTGTTGAAATACACAAATAGATAATGGTGCTCTATACAATGTCTGCTGTGGAGCTAGGCCTGTTTGAAGAAAATCGTGTTGGAATATACGAGTAAATAATGTGCTCGGTCTAGCCATCTGCACAAATTGTGTCAGCCTAGTAAATAACCAACATACTCACCATTATTACATACATAAGACACTCTACAACGCCGGTCGTATTACCAACAAAGGCAACTCTATTACTTACTCTGGCCTCAAAAGAAACAGAAAAATGTCTACAATTTGTGCGCCTTTTAACTAACATAAGACCCCCTATAGATACGGTCTCACAACTAACATAAGCTCTTGTATAACTTAATGCGGTCTTCTACCATAAGCCCGTGTGCAACATTACTGCGGCCTGATAAGTAACATAATTCCCTCCATGCCTGCGGCCTCATACCCAACATAAGTCATCTCTATTACTTAATGAGGACTATAACTTACGCAAAGCCCCCTGTAAAACTTACACCCGCCTATAACAAGAAGCCCCCTGTAATACTTACTATGGCTTTACATCTAACAAAAGCCCTTGTACAGCTTGCTCCTGTCTATGCCTAACAAAATGACCCCTATCAACTTACTGCGGTCTACACCTAACAAAAGACCCCTATACAACTTCCTGCCACCTACATCTAACAAAAGCCCACAATACAACTTACTCCGGTCTAAACCTAACAAAAGACCCCTATTAACTTATTCTGGTCTACACCTAACAAAAGCCCCTATACAAATTACTCCAGTCTACACATATTTAAAAAAGCCCTCTACAACTTACGGTGGTCTACACCTAACAAAAGACCACTGTACTCCAGTCTACACCTAACAAAAGACCACTGTACTCCAGTCTACACCTAACAAAAGCCCCTATACAACTTAATGTTGCCTACAACAAAAGCCCTATACAACTTACTGCCAACTACACCTAACAAAAGCCCCCTATACAAATTACTCCAGCCTACACCTATTAAAAAAGCCCCCTATACAACTTACTGCCACCTAAACCTAACAAAACACCCCTATACAAATTACTCCAGTCTACACCTAACAAAAGCCCCCTATACAAATTACTCCAGCCTACACCTATAAAAAAGCCCCTATACAACATACTCCGTCCTACACCTAACAAAAGCCTTCTACAACTTACTGCGGACGTCCCTCTCCCCAGCCACCAGAGCTCCACAGAGAAACAAAACAGCGACAGACAGGATCAACTTGGCCATGGTGGGATCTAGAGGGAAACTTCTCTCTAAGGTGATCTCTGCCAATGACAGGGCACCTTATATACTGGTGTAGGGATCGATTCCTCCGACACAAAAGTTTTGTTTGAGGTGTTTGTGTGTGGGGGGAGGGGGGGGGGGATGCGTCATCAAAGTATGCATGCAGATTTTACTTTCTCATATATAATAAACTGGTAGTGATCTCCCCTAAACTTTCTCGAATATTCTTATATAAAACAACAGGGGATGGTAACTGGGGATATAGTTATGATTTTTAATCCATTTTAAATACTGAAACTTTTAAAAATAGAATAGAATCTCAGTAAAAAACAATTGCGCACCAAGCGAACGCCTAATAAAGGTGTGTATAATGGTGCGCAATAGTATTAGTACTTTAAAAATTTACATTAGTTTTTTGAGAAATCGGAAGTAGCGTAAATTACTACTTCCAGTCAACGGAAATTACTCAAAATTTAACAGATGGTAGAGAATTAGATCTTTTACTTACATGTGAAATTTCATTTATCTATCTGAAATAGTACTCAAGTTATAGGCTTTTGAAAAATTCAAAGTAGAAAAAGTACCACTTCCGGTTGTCGGAAATCGCTCAAAAGTTGATACGGATCTACGATTTTAATATAATACTTATATATGAAATTTCATCAACCTAGCTGTAACGGTACTCAAGTTATCGTGTTTACACACGGACAGACACACACACAGACAGACACACACACACACAGACATACGGACAAGATTGCAAAATTATGTTTTTCCGTATCAGTGAGGTGTAAAACGTCGAGATTTGTAAAAATCTCGATTTTTTTTTTTGCACGATTACAATACTTTCTCTATACTACGTATATACGAGAAAGTAAAAAGTATAGAGAAAGTCTTGTCATCGTGCAAAAGAATAAACCGGGAGTGATCTCCCCCAAACTTTCTCGAATATTCTTATATAAAACAACAGGGGATGGGAACTCGGGATATAGTTATGATTTTTAATCCATTTTAAATACTTAACCTTTTAAAAATAGAATAGAATCTCATAGAAAAAAGAATTGCGCACCAAGCAAACGCCAAAACAAAATGTGCATAATAGTGCGGAATATTATTAGTACTTTATAAATTTACAAGCGTTTTTTGGAGAAATTGGAAATAGCGTAAATTACTACTTCCGGTCAACGGAAATTACTCAAAATTTGATAGAAGGTAGAGGATCAGATTTTTACTTACAAGTGAAATTTCATTTATTTATCTGAAATAGTACTCAAGTTATAGGCTTTTGAAAAATTCAAAGTGAAAAAAGTACCACTTCTGGTTATCGGAAATCGCTCAAAAGTTGAAACGGATCTACGATTTTGATAAAATACTTATATATGAAATTTCATCAACCTAGCTGTAACGGTACTCAAGTTATCGTGTTTACATACACACACACACACACAGACACACAAACAGACGCACAGACATACGGACAAGATTGCAAAATTATGTTTTTCTGTATCAGTGAGGTGTAAAACGTCGAGATTTATAAAAATTTCGATTTTTTTTGCACAATTACAAGACTTTCTCTATAGGCTACTTTTTTTTTTTTTGCTTGCAAAATTGGTGAGTTTTAACTGCTGAAACTCGGTAATTACTGCCAGATTCTTTATAAAACGTCACTAGAGTTATCAGCAATGTAACTTATCAAGCTGGTCAGGCAAAGTCTGATTGATACATCACGTGGTTGGACGATATATTATATTTGCGACTAGTGGTTGGTGAATATTAATTATCAAAATACTTGAAAAATATTGAATAGTACAATAATTAATGATTTTTTTAAAATGTAATGAAAACTGTAAACAAACTGATACACATAACATTCTTTTTTTTAAATTAGGTCCTATATTACAGGTTGTTAACACGTTTTTAACACGTTTTTATTAACTCAGCTTCGCGTGTGTTTGTTGTTAAAATTGACATCGAAAATTAACCCACTTCTGATTGCTCAATAGATCTGAAATTTGGCATGTAGGCTACTTTCGCCTAACAATTTCAGATGCAATCATAAAAACTAGCAATTAGAGACGGTAATTAGCTTAATTTAATTACGCCCCAAGGACCATAAAATTGAGGACATGATTTCTAAAGATACCGACAAGACTGGAGGCTTATAGACACAGTTACTTCGGCCCCAATCGATGTGAGCGCGCTGGCCGTGATCGTATAGTGGTTAGTACTTCGCGTTGTGGCCGCGACAACCCAGGTTCGAATCCTGGTCGCTCAAGATTTTTTTAGTCCGTGTATTTATAAACACTTAGTCAATTCATACTTAATC